CAGACACGTAGATTTACAGAGGCCACTTTGAACAAAGGAGATTGGCATATCTTGTGTCTCATTCGTGGTTCCGTGTAGTTATGAGGATCAATCTACGTATCTTCGTGTGTGTGTATGTACAGTGGGTACGGAAAGTATTCAGACCCCTTTACATTTTTCACTCTTTGTTTCATTGCAGCCATTTGCTAAAATCAAAAAAGTTCATTTTATTTCTCATTAATGTACACTCAGCACCCCATCTTGACAGAAAAAAAACAGAAATGTAGAAATTTTTGCAAATTTATTAAAAAGAAAAACTGAAATATCACATGGTCATAAGTATTCAGACCCTTTGCTCAGTATTGAGTAGAAGCACCCTTTTGAGCTAGTACAGCCATGACTCTTCTTGGGAATGATGCAACAAGTTTTTCACACCTGGATTTGGGGATCCTCTGCCATTCTTCCTTGCAGATCCTCTCCAGTTCTGTCAGGTTGGATGATGAACGTTGGTGGACAGCCATTTTCAGGTCTCTCCAGAGATGCTCAATTGGGTTTAGGTCAGGGCTCTGGCTGGGCCAGTCAAGAATGGTCACAGAGTTGTTCCGAAGCCACTCCTTTGTTATTTTAGCCGTGTGCTTAGGGTCATTGTCTTGTTGGAAGGTGAACCAGTCTGAGGTCCTGAGCACTCTGGAAGAGGTTTTCTTCCAGGATATCTCTGTACTTGGCCGCATTCATCTTTCCTTCAATTGCAAATAGTCGTCCTGTCCCTGCAGCTGAAAAACACCCCCTTAGCATGATGCTGCCACCACCATGTTTCACTGTTGGGATTGTATTGGGCAGGTTATGAGCAGTGCCTGGTTTTCTCCACACATACCGCTTGAAATTAAAGCCAAAAAGTTCAATCTTGGTCTCATCAGACCAGAGAATCTTCTGTCTCATAGTCTGGGAGTCCTTCATGTGTTTTTTGGCAAACTCTATGCGGGCTTTCATATGTCTTGCACTGAGGAGAGGCTTCCGTCGGGCCACTCTGCCATAAAGCCCCGACTGGTGGAGGGCTGCAGTGATAGTTGACTTTGTGGAACTTTCTCCATCTCCCTGCTGCATCTCTGGAGCTCAGCCACAGTGATCTTTGGGTTCTTCTTTACCTCTCTCACCAAGGCTCTTCTCCCACGATTGCTCAGTTTGGCTGGACGGCCAGGTCTAGGAAGAGTTCTGGTCGTCCCAAACTTCTTCCATTTAAGGATTATGGAGGCCACTGTGCTCTTAGGAACCTTGAGTGCTGCAGAAATTCTTTTGTAACCTTGGCCAGATCTGTGCCTTGCCACAATTCTGTCTCTGAGCTGCTTGGGCAGTTCCTTCGACCTCATGATTCTCATTTGCTCTGACATGCACTGTGAGCTGTAAGGTCTTATATAGACAGGTATGTGCCTTTCCTAATCAAGTCCAATCAGTTTAATTAAACACAGCTGGACTCCAATGAAGGAGCAGAACCATCTCAAGGAGGATCAGAAGAAATGGACAGCATGTGAGTTAAATATGAGTGTCACAGCAAAAGGTCTGAATACTTATGACCATGTGATATTTCAGTTTTTCTTTTTTAATAAATTTGCAAAAATTTCTACATTTCTGTTTTTTTTCTGTCAAGATGGGGTGCTGAGTGTACATTAATGAGAAATAAAATGAACTTTTTTGATTTTAGCAAATGGCTGCAATGAAACAAAGAGTGAAAAATGTAAAGGGGTGTGAATACTTTCCGTACCCACTGTATGTGTGTGTGGTTCTAAAGGAAAGAAGGAAAAAATATATATGTATTTAACACAAATGTGCTTCATAGCATATACAATATATGATGTCCCTTTTGCAATAACAACCAATCTTGAAAAATGTATCAAAGAAAAACTTGATGCAATTTAACTGGAATAGAATGAAGATAATAACTTTAGTAAGTACATACATGAAACTAGATCAAGTAAATATGAACAAACTTACTCTTTTCTGCATTAACGCCCAAACATATCACTTAAATGTCCAGGCTGCTCCTGCAGCTGCTCTGCTCCTCCTACACTCCACTCTGCAGCATGTAAGCCACGTGCTTTATACGGTCCAAGCTCGCCACGTGTCTGAGCAGGCTCGTTAACTCTAGTCAGGCTTTCTCACACAAGTAAAAAACCTCTGCAAACTTATAATACTAAATAATCCATGGCAACAGCAAAGCCAAACTAATTCATGTCAAAATTTAAACGTATCAAATGAGCATGAGTTCAAAATAAATCCAACTTCTGGAATCAAAGGAAGTAATAGCGGAGTACTGTAATCAGCGGGTACATTCTCAGAGGAGGAAAGGAGGAGGGAAGCAGAGCCACACCAACACACTCACACACATAGGGACTTTGAGTTTCTCCAATTAATGTCCTCTTATCTCTGAGGCTGAACCCTAGCTCTCCCCTGCTTTGGGAACATTTTCATGATTTTTTATTTTATTTTATATTGGCCTATTACAGGTTTTTTTTAATGTCTTTAAAAACAGTTCTGTATGTATCCATTTATATTAACCCTGAGTTCTCTTGATCCAACTGTCCTTTACACCAGAGGTTCTCAACTGGTGGGTCGTGGAGTCATTTTTGTCTCAAACTGAATGTTATGTGAAATGAATGGTTTCCATCCAAAAGTCTTTGCCTGTGATTCTTGTTAGAATAAACTTGCACACATCACAAAATCATCTTTATATACTGCTTTAAACTTTATCAGCGGCTCATTCTTTATTCAACAACTTGCTGTAATGTGTTTGATTCGTAGAAGCCATTTTAATGATGGTTAATTTAGTTTGAGAAGTCTGATTTAAGTTTCTGCTAATAGAGCATATATTTTGTATCGTTCTAAATAAGTATTTATTCATGGGAAGTATTTGTTTTGACATGGACACTTTTATGGTAAATAATGGTTTTATTTGGGCAGGTATTTTGAGTTATGGGTGGAGCTGATTAATTAATGTGGGTGCGATGCACAGGTGGTGAGAAAATGAGATCGTCTTTGTCTGTGAACTGTGGTGGAGGTATAGCCACACAGCACATGTTTGTTTTTATCCTATTTAAGTCATGAGTTTTTGATATTAATTTTGGATCTGTTGTGGAAAAAAGTGGAAATTGTTCGTGAATAAACAGAGAAATCAAACGAAACGACGGATCCGTGAGTTTATATTGAAGTGGACACGCATCAGGAACAAACAGGTCGGCTCTTATGACTCAAGGGACAATTTTTGCACGCTAGAAGACATTGCCACTACACATATTCTGAACTTCAGCTGTGATAATTATTTGTTAACACAGAAACTTCTGGAGGAATCTGTGAATAAGGTTGTGACTTAAAGTCCTGAAAACTGCTGCAGATGAAGACGCAGTATTCAAACATTTCCGCATCTGTTATCTGGTTATAACTGCACTCCTGCCTGATATGTAGACATGTAAAAAGGTCCAGTCAACACGTGTGTAAAATGCGCACGTCACCTTTCTCGTTTATGAAGATGAACAAGTCCAGCTGCTGTTGTTACTTCAAATAATTAAATAAATTCAATGAAATATGTCTCAGTCTCATATAGGCCTATATTATTGAAGGGTCTTTTAAAATCATGAGAATGTGTGAAATACAGAACGCAACAATACGCACGTACGTCACGCACGCGCAGGATTCCATGGTTGCTATGGTCCGTTTCTAGGTGCATCATTTTGATCAGATCATCATTTAAACACAAACAAAAACTCTATGAGCCACGAAACTTGTTTCACGACTTTATCGCCACGATTTCTACAAAATTATCGATTCAACTGAGAACTTGTGACATCCTGAGCAGAATTAAAGTCTTCCCAGACAAACGACAAACTTCTGTCATGGAAAACGTAAGAGTTCACCACCTTTAGTCAATCTCCGGTGTTTACCGTCATGGTTACATTTGTCTCACCTGAACTGAACCGGATAAGGTTTGTTCAGAAGATATTTCCTCTGGAGTCTCATTTATGAATATTACATATATTTTAAACTAAATAAAGAAACTTTAGTGATGGAAAATGTCAGATTTGATCATTTTGACGATCTCCAGTGTTTCATGCAGACTGTCAGAACTGAACTACACCGGATTCATTTATTTAAAGAGACCAACAACTCAGTTAAACATTCAATTCATATTTATGTAGGCTAACTCTTTATTTTGATTTATTACATAATTTAAAGTCATCTACAAACATCCATCAAGGAAAATGTGACATTTAAAAAGTGTCGATCTCAGAAGTTATCATTCACACTTTGAGAAGCAGCCAGCTGTATCCATGTATTATCAATGTACTTTTAAAGAGATAAATATCCTCTGTAAACAATGTTCATGTGATATTTATATACATCTCATGAATTACAATTGAATAAACTTCCAGATGGGATACACAGTGATCCTCTGAATGTTAGTGTAGCCATGAGTTCAAATGTTTAACAGGCCCAAACTTCACCTCCTGAAAGTTCAACTGTTACAAGAAAAACAGTCAATAAATGAGGAAATATTCAGATAACTCACGAGAATGAAACCCTTTTCACATTTTCTTATTATTAAAGTCTAGATATACCTATGTGTGTATAGTTATGTATGAATGTTTTTACTCACATATAATATAGGCTATAGGTTAATGTTGAACACATCTAATGGTAGTATGACTTCCTTTTTTTATTCAACATTTAGTTGTTATTTTCCTGTAAATTCTAAAGAGTAAGAATAAATAATAAGTTAGAAACTGTCTACAATTTTAAACTGTATATTTGTGGCTCTTAAAATATATGATACAAGTACACAAAAGCCCTCGACTAGTTTGTACCCATTTAACACAAACTGACACACAAAGGCATTCACTTTCTACTGACCTCAAGGTCCTGTTCTGAATTTGAAGATAGACATTGTTAATCTGATATTCAGTTATGTTTTTTATTGCATTCACTGTAAACATAAGTCTGATTCTAACGTGTGTTTTTGTGTTTTGTTGCAGTTTGTTTTGCCCGTTCACCTTGCAGACCACAGCTACTGTCACAGAGGGAGAATCTCTGCACGCCGTGCAGACAGTGACAGGAAGCCCAGAGCATCCTGCAGAGACCAACAGGTACACTTTTTATTTTCAGATTTTGTTAAAAAAAAAAAAAAAAGTATATTGTTTAACAGAAAAAGTTTGATGAAGAGCAAAAGTTAATTCTGCATGTGAAATTATTTTTGAATGATGAGTCATGATGTAAATTTAAAAAAGGACTTTAATGTTACAAACAAAATAGTCAAGGGGGAGTTGACACAAAAGGGTCTGCTATGCTGCCATGAGACAGGATCATCTATCTTTCTAAAAACTGATAGTGGAAATCTTTAGTATCACTCAAATGTATCAAGCATTAAAATACATTTTGTTGTCAAAATGTTATGCTGCAGATTGTTCTCTTGTGAGAGAAGTAGTTTACTTGTAAGAAGTTGACTGTAGCCTGACATCCTCTCTATGTTACTGACCTTCCTCATCTTTTAAACCCAAACAGCAGCACTCTGCTCATCCTCCCAGACCGGCCCAGAAGAGGAAGAGGACCTCTGCTGCTCGTCCTTCCACATCTTCTGCCGAACATCTGGTCCCGAGGCCTCGGTCCCCCATCCCACCTGCCGACCTGCCTCTGGTCTCCGACGAGGCCCCGGCCCCCGACCCTCCACTGCTCCACTGCAGCCTGACGGAGATCTGAACATCTACAACCGTCCAGTGGAGGAGTTTCAGCTGATCTACCATGCAGTGGTAGACGACATGCTGAAGTATGTTTGTGATAAAAAAAAACACAAAACGATTACTTTCTTCATCACCAATCTATCACACTTTTTTATCTCATGTATCGTTGTGTTTCATTTCTGTTTCTTTGATCCTCACAGATTCAAGAGCGGCAGACCTCGTCCTTACAGCCTAGAGCTCGGACGTCGCCTCAAACAGAAGCTCTGGGAGCGACTGGACCGTCCATCATTCACTGAATCAGTCCATGAAGATGGACGGATGCATGTGGACATGTCAGTGGGTGGGGACAGAGTCTATCCTCCCCTCTATGATGTGGACACATCAGGAGAACCAGAGCCCGGGAGACCTCCAGTGAAGAGAGCCAGGAAACAGAGCTCATAAAGACTTTATGAGTTCACAAACATCAAACTCTAAATATGTAGTGTAAAGTTTGAACTCTTGATGAGTCACACACTGCAGCCTTAGACTCCACCAGCACCACCTTCCAGGACCAATTTTAAGACCTTGTTTTCATGCTCAATCTCCAACCAACAAACCAAACATCTACCTTAAGCCTCCTCCTACCAGACCATAACCAAAGGAAGACGCAGCTTTAACAAACCTCCACCTCAAACCACCCAGCTGTGGATCAATGTTCTGCCTCCAACCATCTACCTCCCCAGTGTCTGCCAGCAGCTTTTACCATCCAACTGCTGCAAACACTGAAAACATGTCAACCTCCACCTGCTACCTCAGCCAGACATCTGTATCTCCTCCTCCACCATCAGTAGATTCTGGCTGAAAGGTGCAGCCTGATCCTTGACAAACTGCCTCTGCCAGTAATTTGTTGCTGCGACCTCCACCTGCAGATTCTGGCAGAGATCATAAACCACAAACTCCAGCCTCTGTCACACACCAGCAGCCGTCAGCACCACCTGCTGGACACTTTAACAATCTCTGCCTCCAATTTGGAAATATGTAGTGTTAAGTTTGAACTCTTGATGAGTCACACACTGCAGCCTTAGACTCCACCTGCACCACCTGGCAGGACAAAAAAAAGACCTCTGCAAACCATTTTAAGACCTTGTTTTCATGCTCATTCTCCAACCAACAAACTAAACATGCATCTTATCCTCCTCCAGCCGGATAAACAACCAAAGAACCACACAGCTTTAACAAACCTCCACCTCAAACCACCCAGCTGTGGATCAATGTTCTACCTCCATCCTGACAACTATGCACCTCCTCCAGCATCTGCAGCAGCTTTTACCATCCAACTGCTGCAAACCAAAATACCATGTCAACCTCCACCTGCTACCTCAGCCAGTCATCTGCACCACCACCACCACCACCTTCACCTGCAGATTCTGGCAGAGAGAACAAGCCTCAAACTCCAGCCTCTGTAACACATCGGCAGCCGTTCTGCTCCGGACTCCAACCACAAGAACCCAAAAGAAGCCCGAGCATGCACCTAAAACTTCTGCAAGCAGAGTCTTCCAGACAACTGTAGACAAAGCCTTAACATAAGCATCTGCCAGACAACAGCCAGATCTGTCTCCAGCCAGCTACCTCCACCCCTACTAATGCTTCCTAACTGCCTCCACCTTCATCCAGCAACATGCACCTCTGTCTCCATCTGCAGACTGTTCCTTCTTTAATAATCCCACAGTTGATTTATGTGATTTCTTAATGGACGTCGTTGATGTACAGTGTTTTAAACTCACAGATTTTCTTTTTGCTTTTTTTCAGGTGGACTTCAGAGACATCCAGACGTACAGGAGCTGATGAAGGCCCATTCCGACAGTTCCTTCTGCTACAAGATCTGTGCACCAGAGATGTCTTTATCTCCTCCTCATCCTCCATCATCACCAGCGACTCCTGCTCCTCTCCTGAACTGAAAGCTCCTCTTCACATGGACCCTTCAACTCCACAAAGCTTCCGCTGATCTCCTCCACAAGTCAGCTCCAAAACAGACAAAACATTGGACAATTGGTACTTTAGACAAGCAAGAAATATCTGCAAAGATAACTAAATATGTAACTTGTGTGGATGTTTTTTAAAGATAAAAATATTCTAGTGTCATGACAATAAAATGACATATATCTTCAAATTATTACAAGGTCCTGTTCTGAATTTGAAGATTCCATTGTTAATCTGATATTCAGTTATATTTTCTTATTGCATTCACCATGAACATAAGTCTGATTCTAACGTGTGTTTCTGTGTTTTGTTGCAGTTTGTTTTGCCCGTTCACCTTGCAGACCACAGCTACTGTCACAGAGGGAGAATCTCTGCACGCCGTGCAGACAGTGACAGGAAGCCCAGAGCATCCTGCAGAGACCAACAGGTACACTTTTTATTTTCAGATTTTGTTAAAAAAAAAAAAAAAAAGTATATTGTTTAACAGAAAAAGTTAATGATGAAGAGCAAAAGTTAATTCTGCATGTGAAATTATTTTTGAATGATGAGTCATGATGTAAATTTAAAAAATGACTTTAATGTTACAAACAAAATAGTCAAGGGGGAGTTGACACAAAAGGGTCTGCTATGCTGCCATGAGACAGGATCATCTATCTTTCTAAAAACTGATAGTGGAAATCTTTAGTATCACTCAAATGTATCAAGCATTAAAATACATTTTGTTGTCAAAATGTTATGCTGCAGATTGTTCTCTTGTGAGAGAAGTAGTTTACTTGTAAGAAGTTGACTGTAGCCTGACATCCTCTCTATGTTACTGGCCTTCCTCATCTTTTAAACCCAAACAGCAGCACTCTGCTCATCCTCCCAGACCGGCCCAGAAGAGGAAGAGGACCTCTGCTGCTCGTCCTTCCACATCTTCTGCCGAACATCTGGTCCCGAGGCCTCGGTCCCCCATCCCACCTGCCGACCTGCCTCTGGTCTCCGACGAGGCCCCCGGCCCCCGACCCTCCACTGCTCCACTGCAGCCTGACGGAGATCTGAACATCTACAACCGTCCAGTGGAGGAGTTTCAGCTGATCTACCATGCAGTGGTAGACGACATGCTGAAGTATGTTTGTGATAAAAAAAAAACACAAAACGATGACTTTCTTCATCACCAATCTATCACACTTTTTCATCTCATGTATCGTTGTGTTTCATTTCTGTTTCTTTGATCCTCACAGATTCAAGAGCGGCAGACCTCGTCCTTACAGCCTAGAGCTCGGACGTCGCCTCAAACAGAAGCTCTGGGAGCGACTGGACCGTCCATCATTCACTGAATCAGTCCATGAAGATGGACGGATGCATGTGGACATGTCAGTGGGAGGGGACAGAGTCTATCCTCCCCTCTATGATGTGGACACATCAGGAGAACCAGAGCCCGGGAGACCTCCAGTGAAGAGAGCCAGGAAACAGAGCTCATAAAGACTTTATGAGTTCACAAACATCAAACTCTAAATATGTAGTGTAAAGTTTGAACTCTTGATGAGTCACACACTGCAGCCTTAGACTCCACCAGCACCACCTTCCAGGACCAATTTTAAGACCTTGTTTTCATGCTCAATCTCCAACCAACAAACCAAACATCTACCTTAAGCCTCCTCCTACCGGACCATAACCAAAAGGACGACGCAGCTTTAACAAACCTCCACCTCAAACCACCCAGCTGTGGATCAATGTTCTACCTCCAACCATCTACCTCCCCCAGTGTCTGCCAGCAGCTTTTACCATCCAACTGCTGCAAACACTGAAAACATGTCAACCTCCACCTGCTACCTCAGCCAGACATCTGTATCTCCTCCTCCACCATCAGTAGATTCTGGCTGAAAGGTGCAGCCTGATCCTTAACAAACTGCCTCTGCCAGTAATTTGTTGCTGCGACCTCCACCTGCAGATTCTGGCAGAGATCATAAACCACAAACTCCAGCCTCTGTCACACACCAGCAGCCGTCAGCACCACCTGCTGGACACTTTAACAATCTCTGCCTCCAATTTGGAAATATGTAGTGTTAAGTTTGAACTCTTGATGAGTCACACACTGCAGCCTTAGACTCCACCTGCACCACCTGGCAGGACAAAAAAAAGACCTCTGCAAACCATTTTAAGACCTTGTTTTCATGCTCATTCTCCAACCAACAAACTAAACATGCATCTTATCCTCCTCCAGCCGGATAAACAACCAAAGAACCACACAGCTTTAACAAACCTCCACCTCAAACCACCCAGCTGTGGATCAGTGTTTTAAACTCACAGATTTTCTTTTTGCTTTTTTTCAGGTGGACTTCAGAGACATCCAGACGTACAGGAGCTGATGAAGGCCTATTCCGACAGTTCCTTCTGCTACAAGATCTGTGCACCAGAGATGTCTTTATCTCCTCCTCATCCTCCATCATCACCAGCGACTCCTGCTCCTCTCCTGAACTGAAAGCTCCTCTTCACATGGACCCTTCAACTCCACAAAGCTTCCTCTGATCTCCTCCACAAGTCAGCTCCAAAACAGACAAAACATTGGACAATTGGTACTTTAGACAAGCAAGAAATATCTGCAAAGATAACTAAATATGTAACTTGTGTAGATGTTTTTAAAGATAAAAATATTCTAGTGTCATGACAAAAAAATGACATATATCTTCAAATGATTACAACTAGACTAAAACAAATACTTATCTGATAAAAGAAACAGTTATTTTTTCTCTCAAAATGTAGAAGTATTTTTCATTTAACATCTTATTTAAAATAAGGCTGTAACTGAGTTAAAATAGAATATTGTGCTAAAAAATGTCATCCTGACTGACTCTGTTTTATTCTAAATGACATCCTCCGTTCTATAGGCTAGCATAAAGCTAGGTCAACCATCTGTCCGTAAATATAATTCAACAACACGCAAACGTTCATTACTAACATAATACGTAATAATTTTAATTTTATTTGGCAACGTGTAAAATGTATTTCAGCACAGAACTTTTATTTTTAGCCGTTAGTTGACTGGCTGGTGAGCTCTGTGATTGGATAGTCTGAGAGCCGCAGTACCTGTAGTTATGTTTGGTGCTTCATTCATTAAAATAATAGATTGATAAAATTATTGAAATAGAAAATGTGTATTTGTCATAGTACCTGCAACAATTGGATTAATAAATGTAGTTATTTGTGTTGAAGTCACTCAGGAAGGCAACATGAAAAAACTTTTCAATTATTATATTTCTCAAAGACAATTAGGAACTATAAAGTCTCAAACAAGTTAAATATTCATAAATAATACAGCCTGATGAAAAAGACAACAAAAACAAATATATAATGCCTTCAATTATTTCACGTTAATTAGAATTGACCTTTGATAATATATATTAAGTCTAGTTTTTGACATCAATGTGAGTCACTAATTGTTCAAACTTTAAAAAACAATAAACCTTCTTGTTCACTTCATGTCAAACTTGTTCAATCCCTTTATTTTTGAAAGATTGTTAGTTTATAAAAACATTTTACAACATGAATTTTCAAAATAAAATTGTTTCGATACAAAGATCCTGAAATCTGTGTTTGGACTCATAATTCTGATACAATAACTTTAATTAGACGGTCCTTAAACTTTGTTTTAAAGGCAAAAGTAGGCTATGGGTCTGGTAAGTGCATTATTCTGATTTACAAAAATCCTAATATGGAGGTACTTGAGTTAATGCTTTCAATTGAGGTTGAAATTAAACATGGTGGCTGTGTCACCGTGGTAGAGTCGGTGTTTCCTCAACCAGTCTGGAGTCGGATCCCCAGCTCCTGCAGACACATGCCGAAAAACAAATCCAACTTCTGGAATCAAAGAAAGTAATAGCGGAGTACTGTAATCAGCGGGTACATTCTCAGAGGAGGAAAGGAGGAGGGAAGCAGAGCCACACCAACACACACACATAACATGTGACGCTAGCTCAATTTACCAGCTCAATGAAAGACTTCACTATATCCACTGTATGCTACACTACAGAGTGAGTTGATCTGTTCCAAGTGAAACAAAAATACCGACATTATTGCATCACTGACCTTCTGTCAGGCTGCTCATGGCTTTCATCTTGTTGACCTGTGACTCAGAAATGTCAGCCCTCTCCTCCGCTTCCCCCAGTTCATGTTGCAGTTAAAAGGAGTTCAGTCATGTTGCTGCTGGCTTGTTCCTCCTGTTTTTATGACACATGATTTTTTGAGTTAATAAGTCTTTAAAAGCAGCAAGAAAATGACAGTGCCACCTGGGAGCTTGCACCCCAGGAAATACAAGACAAAACTTTGAAGATTATTTCTTCACATTTTTAAGGCACACTGAATGTTGGATAAATGCTATGTTCTTTTTTTTTTACATAAACTATTAAATACTGCTATACAGTTACAGTTCATTTGACTACTGACCCTCTGTCATACCAAACTGTAAATGATGAGTGTTCAGGGGCGCTGGTGGCTTAGTCGTTAGTGCACGCGCCCCATGTACGGAGGCTATAGTCCTCAAGTGGGTGGCCCAGAGTTTGAATCTGACCTGTGGCTCCTTTCCAGCATGGTATCCCCACCCTCTCTCTCTCTCTCTCTTGTTCTCTCGTCCTGGTTTCCAACTCTATCCACTGTCCTCTCTCCAATAAAGAAACAAAAAAATGCAAAAATAAATCTTTACAATAAAAATCTGAACCAGTTGCAGTGAAAGATGCAAACTCAGTTTCATAATTGTTCAATTTTGTTTTTCAGGTGCAGCAGTTCACATGATTCACTGTATCTACTCTGTAACAAATGTCCATGACTTGATTTGTTTTACTCGTTTTATTTGACATGAAATCAGGCTATAGAGTTAACTGCATTACAGTCATCACTTAACAGATCATCAGTGTTGTCAGAGATAATAATACTGGTGTCAACTTAATCAGCGTGATAATAATCTTCAGTGTAAGTGCAAAATACAGATAGAAATAAAAACTACCAAAGGTTGACGGAGGAAGACACCAAAAGCAAAGGATAGTGTCCACAAACGTTTTTAAAGTCTACTCAATATCAGAGTCCAAATTTATAAAAGAAATCTTCCTCTACCTGTTTATAACACACACCCATGAACATCTGAGAAAAAGAGTTACCCAAGCACACACACATAAGCTGGGATTTTTTTTTTTTTAAGTATTAAAACCAACATGCTTTTTCAATTCTCCATCATGATTTCACTTGTCCCGTACATAACATGGCATCAGCCAACACATTCAAAATATCAAAGCTAAAAGAAAAAGAGATCCTCTGTGCGTGGTTGAGGAGTCGGGGGTTTATCTGAAGCTCCAGGGCCCTCTTTAACTCCCACTCAAACCTTATGGAGTATAGTCATCATAGGGCCCTTTGACAGCATCAGTACAGGCAAAATAACAAGACGACCTCTTTCAAACCCTGCCAATTTAATACCTGACAAAAAATACATGTGCCTGGTTATACAACTTCTGTTGTAGTGTTTTTGTACCCGTCTTCTTTTTCTTACAGCAGAGACAGGTCATCGAAAGAGGTATCGATTAACTCTAAGCTTCTGAGAAAATACAGAAAAAAAACACAAGCCCTTCAGTGCTTCCAAACATGCAGATAGGAATGTCGTGTCAGTGGACTGCTTCACTGTGATTGATGTGAGACGTCAGACAGTTTGTTTCATGCCGCATCATCTTTATCATCAATTTAACAATATTAAGCATAATGCTTTAAAAAAATGCCAAGCCAATGGATAAATTATTGTGTATGCTTCATAACACCATAAATTAAAGATAAATAGGACTGGCTCCAGGCCAGATTCAGTAACTGGGTTTACAGTTTGAAGAACTTTCTACTTTAAGGCCTCCTTTTGTTTTGTTTTGAGCCTGTGATGAGTAACAACAACAGTTGTTTTACACTTAATAAACTGTCCCTTTATTTTTGAAGACTAAGGTCATATTAACCAGCATCATCTTAAAAAAGAATCAGAGTTCTCTGCGCCACTTCCCCACTGCATAGCATACAGTACTGTAAAGTTTCCAGCCACACATTTTGCATGAGCTCCACTCAGATGCCCCAGGAAGTTGAAGAAACTAAAGTCTAGAGTATGTACAAGGCGTTAAACACCTGCAACTCCATCGAGTCTTACCACAAACGTCAGCACTGTGGTCCATCGCTGCTTGGAGTGCCAGATCGGAGACACAGGAGCTCTTATTGTCACAAAATGTTCTACGCATGTTAGAACAACTATAGTATTATTTTTGCTACATCTCCAGGTCAGCTCTGTCTGGAGTGTCAGTAGTAACATCCCTCTAGTGGACACACAGCAGGACTGCATGCAGCAATGAATGCTGGTGTGTTACAGGACTACCTTTAGTGTGGTCAGGAGGATGTGGTATGAAAAGTGAAGACTTCCCTTGATCACAGCAGGAATATTGTGAGTCAGAACTACACACATCTAGAAAGCTGGAAATAGAAGGACATGAGGAAGAATGAAAGCTCAACCCAACCGCCTGCGTTTGGAATGACAAGAAGATGATATGTAAGGAAGCTTAGTGTGTGTGTGATCATGTTCATCACCGTCATTAATGCAACTCTCTTCAACCCATCCCTCTTTAAGCGTCTGTATTGCTCTATATTGTCTTTATCTTCCCCTGCATGAACATGCGAGATGTTAATGTTCTGCAAACAAAGAGAGCGCTTAGATCTCAGCCCATTTTCACTCTTTCCACAGGGTCTCTTAGGTCTCTGGGTTGGGTGTGGCCAGAAGAGGCACATTGTCCCTCCTCCTCCGGCCCAGTGGCGGGCGCCTGTACTGCTCCCCGTCGGCCAGCGTCTGGGGCAGTGGCTTCCTCTTGCTCTCTGGCAGCAGCAGGATGGACAGCACGGCCAGCAGGGCCAAAGAAGAGTAGACTACGTGATGCAGGAAGTAACCATAATGATTCCTAAGGTCCATGAGCGGAGAGCTGAGGCGGCCCACACAGCCAAGAGCAAGCACTATGCCCACACCAGTGCCCCTGCAGACAAAACCAGTGTCACCAGTGTCAGTTAAATCACATATATGCTGCCATTTCAATTTTATGCTTCAGTCCAACTTCACAAAACTCCAGTGCGTCTACAACTCAATACATGTTCATAATCAGCTTCAGAGGGGACAGGTTGTGTTTGAAATGTTCTTAATTATTCTAAATAATACTCAAATTGAGTGATGGAGTATTCATGTTACCTGATGACTGTGGGCATGATCTCTCCAGTGAAGAGGATGCAGAGCGAGGCGGTGGCCTGAGAGGAGAAGAGACCCAGCACTGAGAAAACGGTGATGGCCGTCTCGCTGAGATCTACAACGAGAAGGAGGGACAGGCGTCAGTAATTATGGATAACCTTTCAGAGGGGGCGTTTTCTGCCATGAGGGGTAGATACAGAGAGCAGAGAGTAACCTCTCAGAGGTCAGAGCTGCTTCCTCTCCGCCTCTGATGCATGGTTTTAGAACAGCATCTGACACATTATTGACTTTGCTGCCACTGCAGTGTCCTACATAAAAGTGACATACCCCTCTCGGGCCACAAGGGGGAGACTTAGACTGAGCTTTATAAAGGTAAAGCATGCTGTAAAAAGAGGCACATGGAATGTCATTCAGAGACCTTTTTTTTCGTAATTCATGAAAAAAGCACAAGCCCAATATTTAGGAAGTTAGTGCTAAATGTATTAAGTAATATGACAACATATTTAAGCCTAACATGCTTAACTGCTTCCCTTTCTAGCTAGAACTTATACAAGTAAGACCTTTAACACTAAACAAGCATAAAATAATGTTTCTGCAACAACTGGGGGTGATTTATGGGGAAGTGACGGGGGTCTACATGTCCACCTCACAGGCAAAGACTATTAATAGCTTCCTTCATGTGACCCGGGATTTACTCAGAGGAAACAATGTTGTGCAGCCAACAAAGGCCTGCTTACACTCCATGAGTCCCAGAAGGATCAAAGAGGCCAGGCCCGTCATCGTCATGGAGAGGAGAAGGATGCCGCGGCGACCGAACCTGTCTACAGTAACCCAGAGCAACAGCCAGGCACCACCGCCTGCACACACGGACAGCAGGTAGGTCCAATAGAAGCTTGGGGCCGTGCCTCTGACGTCACCTCGGAAAGAGCTGTAACAGTGGCTTATGCCGTGTGAGATGAACCTGATGGAGAAAGGACAAAGGGTAAACATTCATGGCTGAACTGGTTTTTCAACAGAGTGTGCTTCAGAGTGGGAGAATAAAGATGAAACAAGTCTCTACAGCGAAGCCTAACAGAACTGAGAGGACTCGGTGAATACTGCAGTGTTGCTAACTCGACTCAAAGAGTGCGCCATGACTTACGAGGTGAAGCCCAGCACACATATGTTCTTCCAGATGTTCTTGCTGTGGAAGAGCTCAGGGAAGGACAGGTGGGGGTGTGAGGAAGGTGCCGGCTCTGAATCCAGCTCTGCAACGAGGAAACACGGGAAAACATGTCTCCTCTTTGAAATTGAGTTCAACAACACCTGAGACATGATCGTCTTTTTAAATCAATAACTAAATGTTAACTGGTTTCCTAAACTGGTTTCCTGTAAAAGAGTACACAAGCTAGGTTAATACCATTACAATTCCTTCATAGTTTAATGGCCAGTTACAGTTATATAAGGTTCATTATCTGTTTAGAAACAACTGATGGATTATGTAACACAGTGAAAAATAAATCAATAAGTGATTATAGATGTTCCTGCAGCCTGTAGGCTGACTGTTCAGGGGTTTACCCTGCTGGTTATTTATAATGAAAGAGTTGTTGATTGTCATTTTTGTGTTTATTTTAGAGCCTGACCGATTAACCAGCCAGCCATTAATATCTCTCAATGTTAGCATATCCAGTGACTATCGGCACCAGCTAATTTTGTTGCAGATATGCGCCGTTATTATTAGATTTATTCACTAGTCAAACAGCGTTTCTTTCAGTAAGCAGTTACTTTCCAGTTGAGTGAACATCTTGTCTGTAAGATATGTTTATTTACAATGCATGTCCACATGCTCTATATCTATGATTGGTGTTCATCTCGAAAATCTAAAATAAGTGATGCCAGAGTTTCAATGTAAAATAAAGTGATGTTGTTTCCTTTGTCTGCAAAATGACAACAAACTTAAGACATTTTCAAAACTTCCTTAAAAGGTGTGTTTACATGTGAACTGTTTTAGAACGAACATTTTTGCTGCAATAAAGTGCAGTGCACTATAATTCCATAGTTTTGCAGGAAATGTGTATCTTTAATAAATCATGAATTATAATTGACCATCATGGCTGCTCTTGGTAGTGGTTTGTGATGGAGTACTTAGGATGCGAAATGCATTGCAATAAGTAGACCATAAATAATGGAGGTACCATAAAGCATGATGTCCATTTTACTAAGCACTGTATCAAACTACGGTATAGCTGCTTTCATTTCAATGGAGAGAACCTGAATGTAATCCTAATCACAGCACTCACCTGTGAAGCTTTCATCGTCTCTGTTGGAGTTCCGTCTCTCGCTGAAGGAGTTCATGTCTGCAGATCTCTCCGACAGAAGGAGCCAGCGTGGAGATTCTGGAAATACTCCTGGAATGCTGCAGGAAAGCAAATATGAAGCATAAATCAGGCTCACACTTTGATTTTAGCAGACCTTTATCCTACTGCAACACTAACACTTGGAGATTATCTCCTTCAGCAACATGGGTCACAAAGTAACAGAATTATTTATTCTGTAATCCACTCTAATCTTCTATTCTCGTTAAAAACCTGCGATAATGCCGGTAATCATACTTTAATCTCTGTTAATTTGATTTTTGAAACTGCTGAAATGGCTAATCTAGTAATAGAGGTCTTAGATTGACTGGCGACCTTAAAAAAAGTAGCCCTAATGCATTCTGACATGATCTGAAAGGCTCAATGAGGCCTGGGGATTAAGATCAATATGATCCAACAAAGCTTTCAGAATGTCAGGTAGCATCCAGACACTTTATCAAAGACTGTGAGGGTCCTTTGTTCTCTCCTGCAGCTGCTCAGAATTAAACACAGAGTGCATACCAGTGTCAACAAACGTACAAATGAAGTCCCAAACATCAGAGTCACAATCTCAAAAACTAAAGTCGAACAGTGAAAGGTAAGAAAACATAAAGATGCTAACTTTTATACTCTTACCCATAACTGAGAAATAGTGTTAGCGGGGCGGCACCAGCTCCCAGGAGGCCCCTCCAGGACTGGCAGCCCAGAGCGACGGCCAGCAGCAGCAGCTCTCCCGCTACAGTCATCAGCCCAGCAAGCATGGTGCCCAACAGCCTCAGAGATGGTTCACACAGCTCCAGACCTGACAGTCAAACACATTATAACCCCACTGTAACTGTGAAGACTGTTTCCCTGAAGAAGTGAACCACAAACTGTGGACGGCGAAAACAATTTCACTTCTACCACAACAACAGCTGCTCCATAATGAAGAATAAAAAAACATAAAAACTATCAGACTCATGTTTGGTATTAATCGATTACATCTGCTTTTATCACTGTGAACATGTTATGGTGACCTTAGCATTTAGCTCAAAGCATTAGTGAAAAAAATCTACTGTCTCACAGAGGTGTGGACTCTTTTCTTAAGTCTTGTTTTGACTTCAAACAAAAACAGTGTGTGTTTCAAGTGTTGAAAACTTACGGGTGATGTACAAAGTGAGATATACTCCCGCACTCGCTGCTGCCAAACAGAAACGCATGACGATGAAGATGGAGGGGTATGGAGAGACACACACCAGCACCCCAAACACCACTGACAGGGTCAGGGAGGTCAGCAACGTCTTGGACCTGCCCAACCTGCAGAAAAAAAAGAGCTGTATTAACAAATGATCTGACCTCAACATGTGGAATTTTTGATCCCAATCTAGATGAGCAACAGCAACACATACATGTGCTACTAAAAAAATATTAAAGGGCACATATTATTCTCTTTTTCAACAAGTATAATTAAGTCTCAGAGCGTCCCAAACCATGCCTGTGAAGTTTCTTGTTCTAAATCCACTCTGATCCTGTATTTGATGATGTCTATAAACCATGCTCAATTGTTTAAAGTAGAAAGGCGGACTCAGAGGGCAGAACAAACACCTTGGGGAGTGTCACCCCCCTCAGGGAGAGGGTTACTTCACTTTGTGATGTCATAAAGGGATAATCTCCAAACGGCCTGTTTGAGCACACGTTTTCTAAAACGTGAAGCAGGTTTATAGACAAGCTAGGGACACATAATAGAAAAACAACGTGTATGTAGCATAATATGTGACCTTTAACAGCAAGAGGGGTACAGAAAAGGCTAAAGAGACATTTAATCAAGATATAATACCAAAAACCACTGCATGAAATACATTTATAGCATCAAAATGTAGTTTAATGCATTTTTAGACCTTTTTTTAATGTAAAAGAAAAAACTGATTGGGAGTCCGACCTGCGGCCAGTCAGTATGTCAGGGACTGACCTGCGGCCAGTCAGTATGTCAGGGACTGACCTGCGGCCAGTCAGTATGTCAGGGACTGACCTGCGGCCAGTCAGTATGTCAGGGACTGTAGGCTCTGTACACGAGATGCCTGCTCTGCCAACTGAGCGTAATCAGCACCCTCAAATACATAAATGTTTTATAAACACTTACTAAAAAGGAAATATGAACTGCATTGTCACAACCTGATCAGTGACTCAGCTGCATGTGTGTGTGGCACTTTGTTTCCAATCTGCAGATTAGCACTGTTACTTCTTTTTACCGCCCAAGAGGCTAAATGAATTCCCTGTCCTTAACAAACAGATTCTACGCTCAATTGGTCAGCAAATTAATGAAGGCTGTTAGCTAATTAACTGTGCATTATCTCACTTGCAATTTCCCCCAAACTATCGCTCCTCCTGTGTGACTTTCATTCTCATAACACAGGCTGGATCCATTATGTCTATAATCTGAGGTGCATGGGGTTTGCCTCATGTGGCCTTCTGAGCAGGAGATCCTCAGATCTTGCAAAAAAAAAAAAAAGAAACTTAAATAATTAAATTACCCTTGAATTCTCTAATGTTAACTTTTATTACATGTATTGCTCATGTGGAGTCATTGGTATCTGGGGTCATTATTTTGTTTGTAACCAAACCAAACAGGATTCCATTGTGTACGCATGCATGTGTGTGTGTGTGTGTGTGTGTGTGTGTGTGTGTGTGTGTGTGTGTGTGTGTGTGTTGGATGTGAGGTAGTAAAAATGCAGAGTGTGGAAAAAGACTGCTGAATGAGGAACAAATGTATCTGAAAGCCTGAATGTCTGCACATAGATTGAGTCGTATTAGAGCATGATGCTGCATGACATGTTGATAAGCTTGTTAAATAGAACCATCAACTTATAAACTGTACTTCTGTGCTGCAGTCTTAACTTTAAACTATCTAGCTATCTGTCAATCCCCACAAGATGCTGCAACAAGACACACTTATGTGTGTGTGTGTGTGTGTGTGTGTGTGTGTGTGTGTGTGTGTGTGTGTGTGTGTGTGTGTGTGTGTGTGTGTGTGTGTGTGTGTGTGTGTGAGTGAGCATGATTACCTGTCAGCGGCATAGCCCAGGCCAAGACAGCCAGTCAGGACCCCCAGGATAAAACACACCTCCTCCACTGGTACCAGCCAGTACTGAGCACACACCAGATCCCACTGCACAGACACAAGGGGGAGGAAGAGAGACGCCTGTCAGTTATTTTCTGTGCAGGTTAGTACAAAAATAAACATTGTACAGAACTACGTGTAAAACATGTGACACAATATAAAATGTAAAAAGAAAGTGTTTTGCAGAAGAGGTCATAACATTTTAACCCACAAATCACAAATGGAAAGCAGACTCGACAGTAAACTGGTTATTTGAAAGTAGGCTTATTGGACTTGATATACAGAGTAGGCAGTCTCAGTGTACAACCGGCCTAGAAGACGTAATTCAGATGTAAATGCTAAATGGACTTTTACACCGCATGTCACACCTACCCATTCACACACTGACGGAAGAGGTTGATATGTAAAGTGTTCATTAAAAGTATCTAATCTCATTCATAAAAAATGAATACACCGCCGACATAGCAGTGGGAGCAACTTGTGTTTAACTGTCTCGCACAAGGACACATTGAACATGTAGCTGCAGGAGCTGGGAATCAAACCCCTGACCTTTTGGTTGAGAGAGAACCGACTCTACCACTGAGCCACAGCCGCCCCTTACATATCCAGTTTGTGAGACAACCAAAAGACAAATGGTAGCTGTGTCTTCTTCATCCTTCATCTCTGCATGTTTCTATTAATCCCAAAGCCAGAATGTTAAACCCAGCTCACTGAGCATTCACATTGAACGTTAGCTTGACTGATTCATCAAGACATTTGCTTTTGGCAAATAAATTACTCAATTATTTTTGCTTTGATTCAAAAGACAGCAAAGGTTTATTTAAAATTCCTGTTTAAAAGAAAGAAAAAAGGACCATGGATCCAAATGAAGTTTCTATTTTTCCTTGCATGTAAAAACACGTTTGGCTGCACCTTCTGCTCACAGTGATTAATAATTATCTATCCTAAATTGTGGTGAGGCCTCGATTAGCAAGCGAGATAACTGGCTGATAAACTGCAGAGATTATGATGCAGTACAGAGTTCCAAAAGACTCAAGGAAAAACCCCATAACGCATTGTGTAAAGTGGAGTCCATTTATTACACACTGTAAAGCAGACTCCATTGTGATTCATTCACTTACTGAATAGAATAACAAATGATTCTGTGGCCGTACTCAACAGTGCATCCACATGGAAAGTCTGTTAAGATTATAAGACATAAATCTGCTCTCAGGTGCGACTTTTCAATCACATTTAGCCAAATCGCTGATTTGCATTAACAGCTGAGCTCTGCTCATGTGGCTGTCTACCGGCCACTGAGAGCCAAATGGTTTTAATGATCTAGAGAGAGGCAGAGCAGAGAGCCAGTGATAAAAAGGCCTTGCATAATTGGAGCCTGTGCACGGAAACATAAAAGCCTGTCACATAATATCAGGCGTTCCTATTGCTGAAGGCACAGAGCCACAATATTGCACACTAGCCGGTTAAAGGGCAGCATAGCAACCCATGGTGTTCATACGGGTGGAATGCTTTTGACAACACAAGGAGGGAAAATGCATACAAACCAGATAGTAAACTGCTCAGACTGGTTTTGGGAATGACGCTCAGGCTCCAATCAGGCATGTGCCTTTGGGAAACTGAAACGTGCAACTATTTCCTCCTTTCCTTTCTTGTGCATTATTGCCCACAAGAGCCTAATACACCCAGTTACATCCAAACTTTATAGGCATAGGCACTACACTGATATTGTTACGACAACAAATTTTGAGGGCTGACAAATTGAAATCCTGGTGTATACTCATCACATTGTCAACAATAGAGTGACAGCAATGTTGACAGTTATGAGTGAGGGACACTGTGTGTGTATTGATCAGCGGCGGAGGCAAAGTTAATAAGAGGCTGCGTGTTTCCTTCTTAACAGACTGCCAGCTCAGCAGAGCAAAGCAGAACTGGGAGGAAAACATCACCACGACAGCAAACAACTCTTCCTGAGTCAAACCTTACTAAAGAGCCACGATCTTAACATCTGCTCTTAGATCATTCTTTGTAAGTAAACTGTGAATCTAAAAAACACAAACGTCACGATGCTTATACACGTCGTACGTCCATAACAACGCTCCTACTAAATGACTCCCTTGGCAGAATTTATGTATCCTCAGCTTGCTGCAGTGGTGCGGGTAGATTACCGGGCCAACTGCCCTTGTGCCGCTGGACTGGAGGCCTGGGTGTGGTTCCCATAGTAGTAGGCACAGAAATGGAAACACACAAGCCACAGAGCACAAATTACAGTGAATGGGTCAAAGATGCAACGTTGTGGAAGGAGGTTCAAATCCTCTGTGTAGCTGGAACGATCCCTGAAGTGTCCAAATCCCTGCTCTGCTAACGGTCATTGACACACTTGTAAGAAAGGCACTTAAAGGGGCCGTTCTTTGGTAAAGATCACTTCTAGGTGAACACAACCAGTGTACAGGACACATTTGATTTTAGTGTGCTTACTCTGTTTCCATCTATGCTGGTGTCTGGTGGTGAGCTCCTTACTTAGTCAGCTATTTGAGGAATTCTAACCTTTGAGATGTCACACAATTTGCTTAAATGTTGTTGTTTTTTTTGTCATAGCTACCTCAGGTCGACACAGTGACGCAGGTAAAACTTCCATTTGTGAATCGGTCACTGAGTGTTCAACTTTGATTCACAGCCCTCTTGTCATTCTCGAGAAAAAAAAAAAAAAGTCTAGCCAACAACTCCAAAGAGTCAAATTCTCCTTTTCAGTTTCACAATTTATGCAGCTAACTTGGTGATATTATGGCCTTTGTTTTCAAAACCTTTACCCACAATAAAAACTAGAGAAGTGACACTCAGGTCAGAGATTCTTGTGTGTTACAGAAAAGAAGCATCTGGCCTCCAGCTGCAAGCAGAGATGAGGAAAAGGCTTCAGAGATCTTCCCACTACTCCACAGTTTTTTTTTTAACTCATAGTGATGCCTCAGGTGATGTATCACATTTTGATCTGTTAAGTCTTCACAGCTTGACACACCAGTGCTAGTGTCAATTCTGTTTTTTAGCAACACAACGCCCCAGATTTTGTACCATTCATCCTCCTTCAAGATCCAGCAGCCTAAACGTTAGCGCGACACATTGTTTAAAAATTAGCAAAAGAGTCCAACAGTGATTAAAGGAATCTGTAAACTAGGAGGCATATTGTATGATTCCATTGTGAGAGGCAACTTCAACTCCCATTCCCTCTTCCCATCACTACTCTAAGAGCTGCAAACAGAGTTGGATGTGTGAAACTGGAGCAGTCTAATGTCTGAATGGGGTGAAGATGCACAAACCTCCTCTCAACACTGTGGACACAGAGGGCTATCTATGCTTGCTTATCTTACAAAGGATTAAAAAAAAACACCTGCTTCTAAAGAAAGGAACGTAATACATCATATTGATGTTTACACTTTGAACACCTACTTTACAAGCAAAGACAAGAAAAGAAAAGGGAAAAACAAAGGGCATGGGGATTGAGGGAGTATGAGAGAGACCAGGCCATAATGTAGAGTAGCTTTGTTAGTTTTTCTTATGTAATCATTTGTAATAGTAGCACAATAACAGCCACACGCTGCTCATGGACTCATCCACAAAATCTGTCTCATATGAATTCCTCAAACATAAGTATTAAAACACAGATTCAGTCCGGAGATCAAAAACAGGAGCTTTGCGTGCTAACACGGCACAGGACATCTCCCAAATCTCTGACGTTGGGAGTTTTCTTGAACGTGTCAACGAGGAAGTGTTTACACAACAACTTCAGTCTCCACAGAAACACAACAATACTTAACGTGACAAAATGAGGAAAAGCTGAAACTGATCACAAACTATCCAGATGAACGGCTCTAAAAGCTGATTTCGTGATGTGTACAATGTCCTAAACGTTTTGGCTGCATGGTAAAGGGCTTAACTGTCTTTAAAGCCATTTCGAGTGAAAAGGATGACCCATATAAAAACACCGGTTTGTTCCTTTACAGCTTCAGAGAACAGAAGAGCTTCTGTCCAACTCAAGGGGTAAAAGTTTGCGCAGCTGTATTAAAGTTTTGCAGCACAATGCAAAAAAATGGAAGACTGCATGCTCAGCAAGAGCCTCCTGTGGAGCAACACGGGATAAAAAAAGAAACGCTCTTTTCAGCAAAGTAGAATCCTGAATCCGTACATAAACAAAAAGGGGAAGCCCTTCCTCAGAAGGCCAAAACAACGAGCAAGACCAGGACCATAATTAGAGAGCTCAGGAGGATCCGGGGCTGGGGCTTTACCTCTGTAACAATGTTGTTCCTTAGCCCCTCTGTGACGTTGTAGTCCCAGCCGGCCTGGCAGTCCATCACAGCTGAATGGCTGCCGTTGACATACTGCTTACACTGGGACAGGCCCCCGCTGTCCCCGGGCCGCTCACCCTTCTCCCACGGCAGGGAGGCGTTCAGAACCTCTGGCGATGGCAGGGGCCCCGGCAGATGGCAGTGGTGGGGCGAAGAGAGGGTGATTAGGGGGTCGGAAGAGAGCAGGAAGGCCAGGAAGAGGTTGGGCAGGATGGAGAGAGCGATCAGCACCCTTTGCTTCTTCCGTCCCAGAGCCATCACCATCACTTCCCCCGTGGGTGGCAGGGAGGGCGGGGCGGGCAGGGAGGACGAGGAGGGTGCTGGGGAGGAGGGCACCGGAGAGGAAGGCAGGGATGGAGGGGGAGCAGGGCATGGGGAAGGGGAGACCAGAGGAGGAGAGTCCGGGGAGGTCATCTTTAAAGGTGGAGCTGTAGGGGAAGTGCGTGTTGAGGGTTGTTCCCTATAGGCGCACGGAAGGAGAGCCGAAGAGCTCTGTGGAAGAAAAGGTGGACACAGCATTATATCGTAGTTTAAAAAAACCAATTATGGACTGATGATGTGTGGATCATGAGTAACCATTTTAACCTTTAACAGTCGACATTTTGAAATACACTGTAGGAAAAGCAGAGAATATATTCTTTAGTTTCAGCCATCTGTGTACTGAGGTACTCAAAGTCGATCAGCAACTATTAAGATACTCTTTCAAGCAAAAGCCATAACTTGTTCCGGCCTCTTGAATGTGAGCCGCAGGACGCGTGAGGACCAACTGAGCATCTTGTGTTATAGGCTAAAAATCAAGAAACTTCATGACATCCCCTTGTGTGTATGACCTGGTGATGGGCTTATTCAGCTATTTCCTCTAGTTTTACTGTACATACCATACCAGTTTTTAATTAACCTACTTTTAATGTAACACAAGCTAATTCATTTGCTGTTTGCTTTGCAGGCTTTGGGATGCATTGCCCTGCACTTTAAATGAGTAATTGCAGAGAGTCTCCGTGACTGCTGTTGTTTATAAGCTGTCAGTACCCATTTGGGTAAATGTAAAGACTCCCTCTAAAACCTGACATGAAATAGGTAAAATGATGGGGTTTTCTCCTTCCCTTTCTGTGCTCCCAGTTGACGGCTGGAATGTGAACAACCTGTGCTTTCCTCAGCAGCCTCCTCTGTCGGTGCACATGGTGCTCCCATAGCAGCCAGTGTCGCTGGGTTTTCCTAACACAGGGCCAGAAAGTCTCTCCACAAAAAAAAAAAAAAAAAAGGAATCCCCCCCCCCCAGGGTTACATAAGAGGTTTTTACACGAAGGGGAGAAGGACGTGTGTGGAATGTAACTCACAGGGTTTGGCTGGTCTCCGTGGAAGTGCAAACTCACAAAGAAACACAACAGCAGTGTGAGAATAAACAACAATGTCGGGAGGTAAAGGGAGCTGGGCCAGGGACTTATAAGACTCACACCTGACCCGGCACACTGGACAGACACACAGCTGTTATTATAACATCTGCCATGCCTCGAAACGGATATTTCCTACTGTTACTCACCCCTCCAAGATGGTTTTAAATGAGAGCCAGATCCCTACTTCGCGTTGTCTCCTCCTAACATCCAAAACATTGCGAGGTGAAACAGGAGATAGAGTACTTTCACCGCAGTCACCGTATATCTTCTACACCTTGATTCCAGTTTTCTTTGTATGTTACATCCAATGACATTTCCGTCCAGGAGAAGTGTCGTAGTCTCTGATGAACACCAGTCCTGCCTTTGACACAAACAAGGACACTGGACTCCTGTTAGCCCTCCGTCGCTGGAAATGAGAGGATGCCCCGCAGGCTGCTACACTCTTTTCCTACCGTCACTGCTTATGGACGATATTGTTTAGTCCGAGTTTCTGCCTGCCGACATTACGCTAAATAAATAAATAAATAAATGAAGCATTATAGTGTCCGACATCATCTTAAAGGGACACACAGTCGACCGTGGACAAAGAGCGGGTGTGAAGCTGCATTGGGGAGAAGCCTGTTTGAACGAGCGAACAGCTCCGCCGGCGGCGGCACACTTCGTGTAAAGTCGGCAAAAATCGTCAAAACGACGTCGTCTTCTCCTTCTTCTTCTTCGTTAGGTTTCAGTGGTAGCTGGCATCCAAGCTGTTGCATTACTGCCATCTGCTGGATTTGACTACTCTTCACACTCTTTAATCCTCCTCATTATTCTCAACTAAAAAATAAGATCAAAGATAATTTAACAGGCATTAAATCCATCTGTTTACACTTGTATATGTTCTATTATCTTTGTTCTATGTGTTCATAAAACTCACTAAATCAGCATTTCTTTTCCTTTCCTTCATAGTTACTCCAAGTCTACTTCAGCTGTCTCAAACATCCACATTGGAGCTGGTGGCCATGAAACAGCTGAACTAATGTCCTTGGCATCCCATACCAAATATACCTCAACCTGAAGTGCAATTATTGGAGATGATTTAACTGTCACAATACATATTCAAAGAGCTATGGAAATCGTTTCTAATTTACAAGTATTGTGTTGTTGCAGATCCATATACCACACTCCCATACTCGATCTAAGTAATGCCACATATATGAATTTGAAGAACGCAATGAGCTCCCCAGAACACCCCACAAGACATCTCATTACGTTTACTACTTTATTTATCAACAGTACTTCTTATTTGTTCCTGTCATTACAACCTGGCATCAAAATACACCCCCAAAAAATATAAAAATCAACTCATTCTGGGTTGTTTCCATTCAATGTCAAACCAATAAAATCCAACATAATCTTTGTTTTGTCACAGAGAATTTAAATTGGCACTTTAACCCACCCTATTTTAAATGCCCTGTATTCTGTTTTTGAATTGCTACTTTACTAATTTTGCACCATGTTGCATCAATTTCTCCTTTGTTTTGCCTTTATTTTCAGGAACTGAAACTAGCTTTTCTTGTATTTTGTTCAAAGTGATGTTCCCTCGTCTTACTACTATCAAAGATTGTCTATGCTGAGGTGATAGCTCACTCAACAATTAATTACATTCCTTCATTTCATTCAATAATAGACCAAAAACACAATTTTCAATAAAAAACGATTCAAGTTAGTATTACTTGAACTACGGTATTACGTGTTTAGGGGAGCGATCCAGAGAACAGAGTCCGACATTGTCTTAGTAATTGTTAAATGGTAAATGGACTTCAGCTTGTACATCACTTTTCTATCCTTCTGATTTCTCAAAGTGTTTTTACACTGCAGGTCACGTATCAATTCACAGACTGATGGCAGAGGCTGCTGTGTAAAAGTGGCCCCTTAGTATTAGCTAATCCAATTCTTACACATCTTTGCGCCGCCAAAAAGCAGAGGGAGCCACTTAGGGTTAAGAGTCTTGCCCAAGGACACATCGGACATGTTGCTGCGGGGGCTGGGGATCGAACCCCAGACCTTCTGGATGAGGGGCGACCGACTCTACCAACTGAGCATCAGCCACCCCAAACACACTGACTCCTCTTTAACTTTAGTGACTTCAGAGACGCAAGGACATTATCGTAGCCTGGAAAGAAAACCATGTGAAAAAAGTTGACATGTTGGTGACAATGTACGGTTAATCTGTGATCAAATTCAGAATGTTTCCAACTTTTTTTTAACAGGACAACTTCTATTGGTTTAGCTCTGCATATGGTAATGCCTGTAAAGATCCACTTGGTGGCACTAACACTCTTTTGATGCTCTGATAATGCAGTGGCCAAAAATGGAAGTCCTCACAGGACTACACAGACATTGCTGCAAGACATTTGAATGTGAGTCATCACTTCAAACCCTTAAAAGTTATTGTCACATAAAAGTGGATGACAAATCTCAAAAGTGCTCTTTCATTCTGTTAATGACAAAGACACTTCAATTTGAACAGAAATTAACCATTACATCATGTTTTTGTATTAGCGTATCCTGTGAGACCTTGTGTTTTGTCAGCCATGGCCATGGTGGCTGCCACTTCCCCTCTGAAGAAATGATAACATCTATGACATTGTCAATCAACCACTTGAAATCTCGGCTGCCTCCCCTCCACTGGTGAGTGGACAGGTGTTTGTGTTCTTGTCTTATTTATGAGATAATGAACATACTAGCCCAATCTCACAATATTGGTGGAGTTCAAACAAGAAATAAATAATTGAATTATTTTATTTTGGTATCACAACAAGGCCACTTAAAACTCAAATTTTGAAAGAAGTAGTCAAATCTGCTCAATGTCATAAGTTTCATTTTTTATTATCAGAACACATGATTGATTGTTGATTCGAGTAGCAGATGAATGTTAAGCAGCACACATTTCCTGCAGGGGGCAATAAAGTGTATCATAGATCGTACGTCTCTTTTAGACATATCATTAATATCTTGGCATCACTGATGATACACAGTTACACTTTACAATACAACCACATGAGCTCAATCTAACCATACTGCATTCCTATAAGATCAGCCTACAGTAATCACTGAAGTAGTTTTTTACAAATGAAAACATCATCCCCAAATGATGAGACACGGACAAATGTAATGACCTAGTAAAGGACAGACTTTCTTTTTTTATCAGCACACTCGAACAAAATAGTTTTATTTGAACTTGTTGTTGTTAAGTATTTGAATTGTGCTCATTTTACCTTTATCGTTGTACTTTAATTTATGGTGGCAGACAAGGGCATCCATACTGCAAAGGCCAAACCAACTCACATTTGGAAAAATGAATAATAAATTCAGAAACAAAACGCAAAAGAAAAAGTCCATATTAATGCTCCTCAATATATTCTGCTCTTTAAACTGTGTTTAAAATATCAAGTCAAGTATTTTATTGTCATTAAATCTGCCTGTTTATAATTTAATAATATGTGGATTTTGATTATCTGATCTATAATATTAATACCTCCAGAGGGTTTAATTTGTTTTATCACTGCTGGACTCTGGTTATCTTGGTACCATATGTAGAAAGTTGTCTGAGAGTTTGGTGGGAACCTAATGCTGAAGGGATGTGAACATGTGAAACTGAACAGCTCAAGTTGTTTAAAGTTTCCAATATTTGGACTTATTGTTGTGCTGTTTGTGATTTGCAACGTAAACTGCAGACAAGAGTCCAGCTTGTTTTAAATCAAACTCATGCTCAGGATTTTGAAGATCTGTGCCTCTCTGTGAGATTCAACGGGTGTTCATATGGTTTGCTGCAGTTGAGTAACTTGGTGAGGCTAGGTGAAATACAGTCTTTCTTCACTCTGCAGAGGTGTTGCAGTCCTGGGACCACAAATTGCCCCACAAGTCGGTGTTGGACATTTCAACAGACATGGTCACACAAGAAGTTATTATGTGCTGCTCAATACTACAAAACTAGTAGAGCCTGTGTCACACTTTCACTATCCTTTGCTAAACAAGGAGCCTATTAAATAAATGATATATGTTTTTAGAAAGATGAAGCAGGATCAGTGTTTGTTATTTACTTCATAATACAGAAGATTTGATTAAAATCCTTATATGTTGTCATTATGCAGATTCACATTACTTGAAGTCTTTTTAGAGGAGCCTTAGTTCATTAGCATTTTTCAGATTGTGTTTTATGGCCACTTCCAAACAGTATATATGTGAATGTATGTCCACATGTACATGCATGTCCTCTCTCACATATTTTCAGGTCAATAGTTCATTCTTAGTTCACAAGCGTTTTTTTCTCAAATGTTCCAGTTTTAACTCTTTCGCAAGTCAACAAAATTATGATTCAGGCTCCAGAAACAAATAGCTTGTTATGTTTTGTGATGCTTTTGAGGAGTGTTTGCCTCACGTTTGTAGGTTTCTGTTTCTGATCATTTGGATCCCCATTAGCTTCTGCACAACGAGAAGCTATTCTTCCTGAGGTCCGCAGTTTACATTGTGAAAATACAATTCACACAGTTCATATTCTTTTTACACTACACAAACATCCTACAACATAGCATATCTACAATAACTAAAGAATGATAAAAACAATTGACATACTGTACATGAACAAAAACCAAAAAGAAATTGGAGATACTGTTTATCCATGCAGAACTTCACTCTGTTATATGAACTAATGACACAGAGACGTTTAGGTTGGATTATCAAACTGCACAGTTAACAGAAAGTGTTGGCTGATTTGATAAGTCATTTTTATTAGATCAGTTTCTTTATTGTTGTATCAATAATGAATGTATGAATGTATGATTGATTGATTGATTACTGTTGTAAATAAAATACTATAAACTAGCATCTGTTTAGAGATGAATAGCTCTGACATTTGGTAACACAGTGATCTTCAGTTTTGCTGCTGCTTCATTCAGATTGAATTTTATTTGCCAATCACACATTTAAAATGTGAGGCTAAGCCTCTGGGAAGATATTTAAAAACACATTCATTTGTTATTTAATTTACTTTCAAGTCAAGATCCAAAATGAAGTGCATGTGTAGTGTCTTTGTTTGGACAATCACACTGACTTCATTTAAGTTCGGTCGTGAGACTGACTCCTATAAGGCTCCAGATGCAAAAGGAGCACTGTGTCCTGTTGTTGATTTGAGAGTTTTCAAATTGTCTTGACAGATGTTATAACTATCGTCTTGGGTAATGATACCAAAAAAAAAAAAAAACATGTCTGGCTTGCTGCCCCCACCCCTTCTGTCTCTATCTCTTTGTCCCTTCACTACCATCACAGCCACAGGAAGGCCCTGGCAGCCCGAAACACTGATACTATCTCTGCGCTCCTCATCTCTGTCCTCCGCTGTGTTGAAATCTTGCCCATCCCACAAAGGGAAACCGCTGGTGCGCAACGGTCCATGGCATGACGTCCGTTTCTGTGGCTAGACAAAGTGATGTTAAATAATGTGGCAGGTGCACTGAAGTAGGACGCAGTGGAGAGTGAAGATGCTGAAATGTAGACACTGAGTTGTAGTGCATTGCACGGTAATCATGGTGGTTTTCAACTGTAAGGGAGCTCTGAAGCTGTTTTAATATCTAAAATCATATTGTCTCTTTTTAATGTTAAAAAAGTTCAGTTGTTGAAGTAATGGTAATCATAGGCCTTGGCAGATATAGGGACAACTTTTTCAAATTAAAAGCATTCATTTGTTTATTGAAGAAAACATCTGACAAAGTTTTAGGACATTAAAATAAAACTTTTTTTTTTAATCCAACGACAATAAAAGGTAACATTTTTTTACATGAATCAAAACCTCATCTAAATTATTTCAAGTAATCGCACCCTTATTCAGAAACCAAAGACGATGTATGCTACAGAGAGAGGCACTTAGATTTCATTAAATGCCTAAAGAAACCACAGGCTGTTGTGAAACCTTGTTGGGTAACAACACTTACAATCATCTCTGATCGTACACTTCTTGTCTGACAATGACACGAAGTGTACGGTAGTTGCTTGAGCAACGTTTGTCAAATCAATTGTGTATCAAATCAAGTCCAAAGAAGAGAGAGGTTTTCTATGGACAGGATCAGTCGGAGTGGGAATGTGAAGAAGCTATCGGGGGACTTTTCAGGATTTTAGTTCATTCAGATTATTGATAAACTGAAGCTTTAGACCTTCAGGACTTTTTTGATTTGTGGGTTCATTTGTGCATTTTTAGTTATGACCTTTAGATCTGGACGACAGCTTTTCCTCATCTTCAGTGGCTGTTTTAAAAATCTAGAATCTAAGGTTTCTTTTATTCTACAGGGTCTTCACACACAGTTCATACAAAGGATAAAATCACCTAAGAGCATCTGCTTTCCAACGAACCACACATTCTCCTTCTTTTTTGGGTCTTTATGTCACTTTTTCAGCACTATAGTGTACAGGGGGATAGTGATATTTTTTTTAGAAATATGGACGCCATGAGCCCCCTCTAAACCAAGACCATTTTCAGCAGACACCAAAAGTTAAACCACAAATTTGAAAGGATTTTGATTTTTTTTTCTTCACATTTGTATCCTTATGTTGTCTGTACATTTAAATTTTCCCACCATGATGTTGTTAAGAAGTAATAAACCAGGGCGCGCTGGTGGCGCAGTGGCAGGGCGCGCGTCCCATGTGTTGAGACTCTCTCTGAGTGGTAGGCCCAGGTTCACTTCCACCCGTGGCCCCTCTCTGCATGTCATTCCCCGCTCTCTTTCCCTGGTTTCCAACTCTATCCACTGTCCTCCCTCTGAATTAAAGGCACGAAAAAAGCCCAAAATAAATCTTAAAAAAAAAGAAGTAATAAACCGCAAGGCAAGGAATATAAGTGACCGTTTCTGTATCTCTCTGACCCTGAACTAAAATGATGAAGATGTGCATCAATAAAAACACAAATAGAATAGATGACAGAAATACACTAGGATCTGAAGAGTTTTGCTGGAGGTGTCAATCTTATGACTTTTCAGGAAAACAAAAACCTGTGTGCAGAAGCTGCAAACATTCCTATGGAAGGCTGACTACCTTGGACCTTGACTCTAGGAGGCCTGCCTTCACACAAACACTGAATCTGACGCCTGCAATAAGACATACGAGACCTGTAAGAATGTGGTTCTAAATGCCAGAGCACCCTTCTGCTCTCTACTCATCACCATGCATGTGCCGCTGAGACAGGATGTGTTTGAGAGTGTCCAGCTCTTGTGTCAGCTGCTCTATCCTCGTCTGCAGCTTCCGGTTTTCGTCCTGCAGCTGCATGGCCCTCTGCTGGGTCAGTAGGATTCTCCTGCGGGCCTTGTCACGGCTCTTTCTCACAGCAATGTTGTTCCTCTCCCGTCGCATGCGGTACTCTGCGCTGTCCTTGCTTAGGCTCCTCTTGTTGATCGGAGCCCGCAGAGTTGGCAGGAGGAAGGAAGAGAACTCCTGAATGCCAGAAAGACAAATAAGTTGTTTAAAAACTAGTGTTTTGGTGATGTGTCTCTCATCCACAAATTGATCTCACAAACACACACCTGCTGAGTGTTGGTGTGGCTCTGGTGGTGTATGCCCCCAGTGCTCGAAGTGTTGCTTAGACAGGAGGTCGGGAATGGCAGGTAAGACAGTCCCATCACCTGCTCAGCCACTCTGTCATCACTGTCTCCTCTCACCAGCCCGTGCGAATGGCCGTATGGTATCATGTCCATCTGAGCCAGCTGACTGGTAGAATCTGCTTGGTTTGAGTTGGTAGGATTCAGGTTCTGGGTGTGGACCTGACCCGTGTATGTGCTTGCCCACTCCTGGATGACAGAAGACACCCTGGAATCCGACATCTGGGGAGGTTGAGAGTAGAAAAATAAAGCTTCTTATGGGATAAATCTTTATCTTCCTTGCATACTGCATCACTTCATGAGCTTTCTTCTTGTGGTAAATATACCAATTTGAACTCCTTTATATTACTATAAAATATAAAACATGATGCACTGCAACATACTGTTTGTATTTTTGACTCCAGTTGAAACGCCTTAAAAAAAGGTTGCTTACATGTTATTGTTCCTGTGATGATAATGGAAAAAATGCAATCATCCCATGATGAATGCAAGGCTTTCACTCATTTTAAAACATTTCTAAAAGGTTTTATTCTTTTATTTAAGTGTTTGCATTGTATTCTTCTCACACCACTTCCTAAAAAAATCCCACTATGTGTACAGCCTATTCTGTCTTTTTAAGACAATCGCAATTTATCAGGTCACAAGTCCACGAGGGGGGATGGAGGATTGAAGTTTATTTTGCATTTTTTAATTATAAAATACAAAATACAAAAGCATAAAACAAGAGCAAATGTTACAGATGACAGATGCAACACTTTAGGGCAATTAACTAGAGCGGGGTTTAGAAGTAAAGACTAAAGTAACACTATGTAGGAACCAACGGCAACAATATGACATTTAATGAGTTAATCAAGGAGATCCACAGGTCAAAAAACAGGAACCATTTTGATAATCAATTTTTACTTTTTTGTTTAAATGAACGAAAAAGAATCACTGGTTCCAACTTTAAAAATGTGAATATGTGTTTTCTTAAATCTTCTAAGGTAGTAAACTTGTTCAGGTTTTGAGCGGTGTTTGAGACCAAACTTTTAAACTAAGAAATTAAACTTAAATGTGTTGTCCATTCTTTAAAAGTTCAGACAAAAATAAAAGTCAATAATGTGAGAAAACTTCAAATCAATTGACTGATCAAGTCAAACATAAGTGCAAAAAAAAAATATAGGCCTTGAAAAGCATATAGCGGTTAAATGAGATATAAATTGTTATTATTATTATTATTATTATTCTAGTTAACTTTAAATAAGAAGTAATTTTGCTATTTAGAGACCTTGGTAAAATCAGACAACTTTTATTTTCCTCTAACCCTAACCCTATGGTTTATTATTTAAAGGTTTAGCATTACAAGAATATCTGATTAACACACACAAACTAATAAAGTTTAGATTTGACTTACCATGACTTAGCTTTCCATGAACTCTGACTCCTGCTGCTCCTCCAACAGATTGACTGACAATGATCGGAAAAACAAGAGACACACAGGTACCCTCCAATAAACTCATCACCACCTCGCTCTCTCTCTCTCTCTCTCACACACACACACACACACACACACACACACACACACACACACACACACACACTTATACTGTACATGGGCACAGGAAATTCAGAAATATTTAGAAACAGGTCAAAGAAAGGTTCAAACCAATACAACTTTTCGGCTATATGTTCCATTTTTAATTACACTTTCTCACTCAGTGGCTTGAATGTCATAATGTAAAAATATAGGAGAAGCTCAATGTGTTGTAACAGTCTACGGTTTTAACCATAGACTGTCTGTAAAAGGTTTTAACCATAGACTGTCTGTAAAAGGGTTTAACCATAGACTGTCTGTAAAAGGTTTTAACCATAGACTGTCTGTAAAAGGTTTTAACCATAGACTGTCTGTAAAAGGTTTTAATTATAGACTGTTTCGTTTTTAATGCTGCAATTTTGTACGGACGTCAGTTTGACTTTTGTCCCTGTTAGGCCACCATAGATTACACTTTCTTCAAAATGGCTGCGCCTGTTGACAACGTGAGTTGAATTGTGCTCTCTGCTTTTTAATTAAACATGTATTTTAAGTTTCTACAACATGTGTTTGTGTCACACTACCTTCTGAATATTTAGTGTGTATTTTGAACTCTTCCTCGAAGCTTTTACTTGTTTCGTGCCAACATTTGTAGTTTTTAAAAGACTTGTGCTAACCATCTAGCTGCTCGCTAACTCTCTATAGAAAGCCTTTTTACCATAATTACACTTTTGTTACTTTGTTTACACTGTTTTTGCATTTCTTTCTAACGTGTAATATGTTTATATTTACTACATGACAGGATTTAATGGAAAGTGATGTACCAAAAGCGGTTCAGCTGCTGAGAAGTCTGACAGAACAGGTGAGAAAGTGTTACAGTGTGGTTATTATCATGTTTACTCCCTTTAAATGAAACCTTACTTCAGAAAAGGTAAAGGGGTAATAATGGATTTGAAGTGTCTAAAAATGTAAATTCTTGTCGGCGTTTTTTGTTTTGGATTTTGAAAAATAAAATAAAAAAATCAGAATCGAAAAAGACTGAAGTACTTTGAGTTTTCTGTTTATCTTTCATCACACTGATTTGAGTCTAATCTTTAATACTCCCTTGTATTGAAACTTCACGAACACAGTCATAAAGACACATTTCATGCTGACATAATGATGCATTAATAAAGTGACATGTTGTTTCCACCATGTTGATAATAACATGTAAACACAAAATGATTTTCCTCTTTCCTCTCATCAGTCAACAACAGCTTTCATTTGGTTTTCTCTGTAGGTTGCCTCAGTTACAATTCATGTCCGCGACCTGCTGACAAAAGTAAGAGATGGGACATTTAAGACATCAAAGGTGAGATGGTCGACTTTATTTCTTTGATTATTTCATCAATTATGTCTCTTCAGGAAAGACCAATGCAAACCAGACAGCATGCAGGATAAATGGCTGAGCGACATGATCATGTGCAGTTTGCGTTTGAGAAACAAGATCAACATTTACATTTTCCCGGTTTTGTATTCAAATTCAAATTCAAAAAACTTTATTTGTCCCCGGGGGGCAATTCAAAGACACACAGAGCAGTAAATTAACAACAGTGCAAGTAAACAAAACATTTTAACCTAAATAGAAAGTGTCAATTGAAATACAACTTCAAGCTTAAACTTAACTTAAAAATACAAAACCAACACATTATTATTTCCTGGATATGTGGTGCCTCAGAGTTTCTGAGGTGTTCTTTCAGGGAACACAAACATGCAGTCATTTGAATAATGTTGTTGTTTACTGTAACCTTGCTATCCACATTTTACATTTTGAGGATTTTTTTTTTTCAGAAGGTTCATGTAAAGTTGTGTTTTTATATATTGCAGGAACATAAAAAGAGGCTCGTGTAAATGACCTTTTTAAATATGACCCATTGTAGTGTTGATGGTCTCCTTTCTCTCCCTGCAGGGTTTGTCTTTCTTAGACCTTCGGTATCACCTGCTTCTTTTCTACCTCCAAGACCTCACTCATCTCATCGCCATCAAAACCGAGGGAGGCAAAATAAAAGACAGTGACGCTCTTAACAGAGTGGTCTCCGTCAGAACGGTGAGTTGATAGTTCAGTCAAATCACGAGTAATGGGAGTTCATTCGTCACGCTCTAACATGCTGTATTTGTCCCTTCCCCTTCTGTCTTTAAGGTCCTGGAAAAGATGCGACCACTAGATCACAAACTTAAATACCAGATTGACAAACTCGTGCGTACAGCTGTCACTGGAAGTTTGGGTAAGACCAGTTATGTCGTGATGAATGACACTGGTTTTGTTTTAATATCGGCCGTAGAGCTGGGTTTTTCAAAGTGGGGCTTCCGACCCCCTGGGGGGTTGCCAGAGGCCGCTAAGGGGGTCGGGGTAAACTTTAAAGGACGAGTGGGGGAAAGTGGAGCGAGACATTTTTTTCTTCTTTTAACTAAGAACATAATTTGTGACAGTAAGATTTAAATATGTCGTTTTAGATGGTTATAATTCACTATGTAACAAACTCTATCTTTTCTTTTCTATGCCAGTCTTTCAATTTAAAAGAATTAAACACACATCACTGGCCAATCAGAATCAAGCAGCCGCGATGAAGGAATGTTTATAACAGGAGAAAGACACACTGAATGTAATCAATGAATATCAAGAGAGAGAGAGAGTTTATATTAATGTTATAATTATTCATAATTGGCTAAATATAAAAGACTATTTATAAAAAAAAAAACTTGAATGAAATGAATAAATACAATTAATTGTTAATAAGAATGAGGAAAAAGACAAGTTGTCTGTTGAATTATTGACATTGTAACATACCAGGAATTTAAGACATTTTGCAAAGGGGGGGGGGGGGGGGGGGGGGTGCTTTATTGAGGTTCTTGTCATAGTTAGAGACCCGCTGGTGTCGAGGATAAATATCTCATATGGGAGTTGCATGATTTTCAACCTGCTTTGTTTGAGTTTTCACAATTTGACTGCTTTTGTTGATTTCAGCTGAAAATGATCCGCTGCAGCTGCGTCCTAATCCTGAGAATCTCATCAGCAAAGTAAGGTTCAAATCTCACTTTACTTTGGTGGCACGGTCAAATTCTACTTTTACATAAAGAAATTAGCTTTTAAACTTTGAATCGGTCTGACTAACGCACTAATGTTTTTACAAGTGAAGGGAGGGAAATATTGTCTCTTGTGACTGACTTCCTTTCTTATTTTCTTCATGAACCAGCTGAGTGAATCAGAAGAGTCGGACGCTGAAGGAGAGAACAAAACCGCCGCAGAGAAGAAAGCAGCCCACTCTAGTGGCAGGAAATATGTACCACCGAAGATTGCTGCAGTGCATTATGGTAATTACAGTAGCGTCATTCTTCTGTGGGCATTGATCACATTGTTTGGAAGGAACCAAGCAGCTCAGCAGCTTCTTTTGGTACTGTGAATTTATAAAAACAAGAAGATTAAAACTAAAATCAAAATAAAGAATGCCACACATTTCTCACTTCACCCTGTTTCCTGCAGATGGCGACATGACAGAAGCTGACAGAAAGAAGGCTCAGGTGGAGCGGCAGAAGCGGGCTGCCCTCAGGAGCTCTGTGATCCAGGAGCTGAGACAGCAGTACAGCGACGCCCCCGAGGAGATCAGGGATAGAAGAGACTTCCAGAGCGATCGGGACAGCCGCGAGGAGCTGCACAGGTGTTTTTCTTGTTTCCTTAATAGAAACAGGTAGAAAAACATAGAGGCTAGTCAAGTTTGGAGAGAAGTAGAGATTAATTGTAGTGCAATACTGTGGGATTATATCCATTGATGGAATATTAAATAGCATGCTTGAAATGCTTTTGGACAAGTTTCTCAATATTCACTTGTTTATTTTTCTTCTTCACAGGAAAAACTATGAGGAGTCTATGATGGTGCGCCTCAACATGCCCAAACAACAGAAGAATTCTAAAAAGAGAGGCAGGATGTCTATGTCTGGCCAGCTGAGTGGTATAACACACTTCGGTGACATAACAGCACTGACGGGCGGCGATGGCGGACAGGTGGGTGATTTCGTAACCCAGTCAGAACTGAGACAGAAAAGACCCATTTTTCAGACTGACCGTTATGCAACTGGAACTGCCAGCAGCACATCATGAATGATTAACAGAACTTGCGTTTAGAGGAATGCATGTGTGTATATGGGTGACTGAGAAGCCTGGCACCATACTCCATGCTCCACAGGTTTGGCATGCTAAACTTCCTGTCCCAAATGCACCAGTCTGCTGTCATAGAAAGCACTAATGAGTGTCAGTAATGACTACAATAAAACTCACTGATAACCTGTTCCACTGCCTCCAGATATGAGAAATTCATTCAGCTTAATGTAGCAAAGAGGAACTGAAAAATCTATTGGCTGTGTTTAAAGTTGTTTACTGAACACTAGCGCATTAAGCTCATCTCTGTTCAGTGTGTATGGTGGCAATGCAGCTTGTTTACATTTAATATTAGTAGTTTATTTACGTCACATTCTTCATTTTCCTGCTGTTCCTACACTTTTCCTTGATGGCACAGGATGGAGACAACCCTCGGCCCAAGAAGAAGAAGAATATCATGAAGAAGAAAACCAAAAGAAAAGGTGAGGACATGAAGAAAGACCAGACAGTACAGACTGCCTCAGACCATTTTAGGGTCTTTACATTCACTCTTCAAATACATTCATCAGGGACATGATTGGCATCAGATAAAAAAAAAATCCGAATAGCATCTGTTCACACAATTTAAATACATTTCAAACCTGTTTCAGCACTGCAGAATATCTAGAGCTATAGGCTGGATACAAGCAGCTTATGTATAGTTAATGTGTAATATTTTAAAATATGACTGGGATTAGTAGTTGCTTAAGTGACAGTGTCCATATATACAGTAAGAAAGAGGAGATTTTACAATTTTGGATATAGAAACCCAGTCCTAGACCTCTGTGATATCAAAGCTGGTTACAGCTGTTGTCATGACAACAGATTGAAATGAAGCCTTAGTCAAATCGATCATACTTTATGAGCGCGTCATTAGATGGCGGCTAACGACCTGTCTGTGCAAAAATCCAGATTTATCCAAAAGAATCAGTCCTGATTCATACACTAATTAAGGTACCTCTAATACATTCACGCTTTTGGAAGACATTTTGGGTTGATTATTTTGCGGAGTTATTTTGATTTGTTGACTGGAGGAGCTGGTAAACAAACAGCAGATATAGAAAACAGCCTGCTTTACATTCAGCCAACTTATGAAACCCCAGTAGTCATATTCATGTGACTAATGGACTTTTCTTTCTTGCAGCTTTTAGGAAGCACAGATAGACCAGAAATGTGAATCAAGATCAAATGACAACACAGAGGATTCCTTACAAGCCCATTGTTTCTGTCAATATCATTTCTTCAAATGTATTTTTTTTTTTCTAACTACAGTTAATTAATACTGGGTCACCTATGTAGTCTGTATGAAAGTGACTGTTTGTGAAATTAAAGTTGACTGTTGTCTCTGATATTTGTATTTTATTTCTTACCTCTTACACCACTGCATGTTTTTTTCTTGTACACTTCTAATCTCCCGCTCAGTCTTCATTATGAAGGTACTCATTGGTACTTAAGAAACCAATTCAGCCTAGTAAGATACAATTCACTGCTTGAGATGAAGCCGTATGGCGGTCCTGCAGGTGGAGCCCAAGACTGACCCAGATGTCACTGAGTAGAGAACATGTCACAACTGAAGATACAGGAAAAGTCAAACTTATTATCCTGCAAATGTCATCCCTTTAAAGTTTCTAGAAGACGTTACAGGGTGGAAAAGCAGAAATCAAACTAATAGCTGGATTAAGTGTAGCTGGTTAAGTTTCACTGAACAAAGCAGAGCTGTCAGTAATAGAAGTCAAAATGTGTGCTCTAAAAACAGATTCATTATTTTCACTACTGGAGCCGATCCCAGCTAGGTACCAACCTACAGTGTAGTCATAAATGATTTGGGATCAGTTGTCGAGAGTATACCATTGTCTCAGGAGGATTTCCTTTGTTATAATATTCAAAGTTTGCTCTACCTTGTGTCAATGGATTCTGCACGAGGAAGTTATTACATTATGATAATGTTCTTTTTTTGGTGAGCGACTACTTTGATGATAAATCTTCACGTCTTAAATAATTATTCTTGTGAGGGCTGTATAAAGTATACAGATACAAATAACTCATCTATAAATTAGACCAAAGAGGAAAACAGAGAAGATTAATTTAAAAAACACACAAACATTCATTTTTACACAATGTCTTTATTTTTTTTTCCCTAATTACAGACTCATGGGTTAAAAATAAAATTAAAAAAGAAAACACTTTTTTTTTTTTTCAAACCCACTCCCCCTTTTCAAAAAAAGAAAAGAAACGAAAAAGGCTCCACACAAACCCCACAACTGACTTCCCCAGCCCTAAAATAACAGCTCCTGCACACTCCTGTTTATTAAATTAATCAATGCTGTAAGCTCATCAGCCTTCCTCAGACAAGCCGTGACTGCACTGCGCATAGTCAGAGAAAGGGGGCGCCTTTAAGACCGCACTGTACACCCCCCCCCCCCCCAAAACACTGGTCTCTGGTCCTGCCTTCCTCACTCTTGCACAAACTTGCCTCCCACTCAGCAATGCTGCCTTCAGCTCTCTGTATAGAAAACGTGTTGAATTTGGCTGCCTGTTTAGTGCTGCCTGTACTGCAGTGTCATGTGGTGTGTGTGTGTGTGTGTGTGTGTGTGTCTCGACCATGTGTGAGTGAGTTGAAGTGTGAAGGGAACTAAAAGCATCATCAGCGTTTGCTGTTGTAGTAAATGCCCCCCGCGGCAGGCCTGTGGTCGCCCTGCCCCCCTCCCCCGCCCCCCCACACGGACAGGATGGGGTGAGTGTGCATAGCGGGAGCAGAGAGAGAGAGAGACGCTGCGGAGACAGTGGGGGGGGCCTGCGCCACCTGGGGAGGGGTCGTCAGCCTCCACTGGTCCTGAAACCTGAAACGACAAGAAGTGGTCTAATATACAAAGAGAGGAGAGGGGGGGGGGGGGGGGAGGGAGAGACGGGAGACAGGGAGCACAGAAGGGGAGAGGGGAGAAGGGTTTGGGGAATGCGGGGTTGCATAAAATAAAAACATCGATGCCTCTCAAAGAAATCAAAAGGAGCTGTGGCCATGTCTGAGTTGGAGTTGAGAGGGTGTGGGCAAGCAGTGGGGGGGGGGGGGTAGCAGCAGACGAGGAACCCCACTCAGGAGGAAAGAAACATCTAAACATAAACAATCGCACTGAATACTGAAGGTCCACCACTGCCTTGAGAACAGTAGACAGAAATTCACAATCCATGGTGTAATGAGCCAAAGAGGAGGGGGGGGGGGGGGGGGGATGAGTTATAAAATGCAGGCAGGGTAGGAGGTTGAGGGGGGAGAAAACGTTCAACACAGATGGGGTTGGGGGTAATGATAGACTCCAAAGCACAAACTTAAAACACATCAACAAATACTCTGACTAGTGGAAGTTTCACATATGTACGGTACATAAAAAAATGAATACAGTATCCTTTTCTCTTTTTTTTTTTTCTTTTCTTGCTGTTTACCCCACACATTTTTTTTTCTTGTTTTGGTAGTGGTGGAGGGTGAGTGGGTGGGCTGTGTTGGTGATGGTGATGGTGTAAAAAGCAGGAGGTCACAGCCAGACCAAAGGAGACATCTGCAGCCTGAGATACCATCATCCTCTCTCTTAACTTCCCACCCCTTAAAAAACCAACAGAATACAAAGAAAGAAATCTGCCACAGTACTCCCCAATGGCCAACGTATACCTTACCAGGGGGCGCCTGCATCAATCTCCGCACACGCACGCTCACACACAATCGCACACTGCGGCCAGTCAGTTTCTCTGTCCAGGAGAAGTGTTTTTTTTTTTTTTTTCCTTTTTTTTGTCTTTTTTTCCCCTCTTCTGGGATTCTCTTCTTTTATTGATGGGAAAGGAGGGCATTTTTTCATTGTGTTTTTTTCTTTTTTCTTTTTTTTCCAAATGGGAACAGGGATGGGGAAAGGGTTGATAGTAAGGGGGTGTTTGGGAAGGAGGGGGTGTTTAGTAAGGGGAATACCACGATGTTGTTCGCCCTCGGCCCCTGGAAAAGAGAGAGAAAAAGAGGGTGAGTTTTTTTCTTGTTGGCTTAAGAAGACGGACACCAATTTCCTGGTGTGATATAATATAATATGTGTGTGTGTGGTGTGTGTGTGTGCATGTATGTGTGTGTGTGGTTGTGAGCAGAGACAGGGTCTGCTGGAATTTCAGTCCAGGATGTAAACTGAAGGGGAAAGAATATTCTTATAGAAATATTGGTTTCAGAATATATAACACAATGTGGAGGACAGTGTTCACAAATAAAGAGACATACCATCTAATCGGTATTGTGCCTTTGATCTTACAAGTTGTGTTGTAACAAATCAATCTGGAAAAAAATAGACTACAGCTTAGTCAAGAGAGGATAGTGTTTAATTTCCAGATATCAGAATAGTGTTTTGGTGTGTGTGAGGGGGACGGCAAAGGCACTCTCTCTCCCTCTTTCTCTCTCTCTCTCTCTCGCTCTCTGTGCGAGAGGCGCCTCTGGGGTCACTGTGGGGAAAGACCTTGAGGACAAACAGCACCAACATAAACCCCCAGCATGACACATTACACATACATACACACACATATTTGACAATTTGGGGAACAAAACTCGGTTATTATACACTCAAGCACTGCCTCACACATACACAGAAGCGAGCAACAGCAAACTTGACACGCCCTCTCACCTTGATCACACACATCATTCAGTGGCAACAAAAAAAAAAAAGAAGGTCAAACTGGGACTGCATCCAGAGGCCGTTAGGCTAGATGCTGAGGTCAGGCTGCAGTAATGAACCCTCGTTTCTGGGAGTGAAGGCTGTAAAGGTGAATCTGAGTTGTACTGTGTGTGTAATGGTTCATGTACGTGCAAGGGTACACCCTAAACCGAGGCTCTTCCACACGAGTACAGTACGTGTGTGTCTACTGGGTGACATCAGAATCTTTTCCTGCACTGTGCTTACTAAAGGGAATAACAAGAATGATGTTGTTAATGAGTGTAACACCAATAACAGTACTTTTCTCTGCTGGATGCCAATTTCACAAGTTCAAGTAAACGTTGTTTTCTACTTCTGACCTGGTGTAAGCATGTCTTTAGCCTGTGCAGACAACACATGCTTTGGCCTTCATGAATCTTAATTGCTATAGCTGAAGCCAATTAACACTTGAAACACTAGAATGAATGAAACTTAAATATGTTTGGGCAGTGATTGCAGGGCCAAAGCCAGAACTGCAAAATCTTCACAAGCACAAAAGTAGGTCAGTGCAAGGATTTTGAACTTGGCATGTGGTTTTCTTCACCATGGATGTGTTCCCACAACTGAGACAAGGCATCAATGAAAGTGTTGGGCTTTTATATGCGAGCCTGATTCTGTTCAACTGATGCGTGATCTTAAGTAGACAAGTGATGAATTCCTGATGTAGCAGCCAAACAGCATTTCTGCTCTCCTCTACAAGAGGCCGGCTCAAGTGGAACTCTGCTTCTTGGCATGCTACTCTTAATGGGCAACTATCACATGTGAACAAAGGAAATGTACACTATGTAGTTATCATCGATGAGCTTTTCTATGATTCTGAGTGCAGATATCACAGTTGGCAACAACAAAAAATGTCATGACCTCGGAACTGCCAGCTTCACTATGTCTCATGCCAATCAATAAAACACAGTTATTAGTGTCTTTTCTCAGCCCGAATCTGCATGTCTATGTACATTTTTGGCTTTTCTGCTTTGTCGGCTGGTTTTTCTTAGTTTCATCCAACTTCCACTCCTGAAAGCCAGAACTGTTCTAGTTCAATAAATCACACAGAATGTCATACCTCAGTAAAATGCTTTCAATTTTTCAGATTATAAAACTACCTATTTATATCAGCTTTCAGCTTTTGCTGACTTGATTACACAGATATACACCACAACTCTTTGAGTGCCTTGTCCTGCAGCCTGGGCCAAATGGCAGTGAATAAACTGGCAGGGTTAGGGTTTCTTGGTATGTGTGGGAGTGGCTGGGGTAAGTACACAGAGTGAGTGATTAGAGAGATTCTGACCTTGAGCTGCAGACACTTTCTCACAAAAAGGAGTAAGGAGTCGTGTAACTCTTTGCTGTGATTATTTAAACGCAGCCTCATTGAAATGGAATTCGTCGCACAATTTCTTGAGACAAGAGCAAGGGCAATAATAAACCCACGAGATAAACTTGACTCAAAATGAATTTCCAGAAGGTACCTGGCCTCTGACAGACCTCTAAATGAAGGTTTTATACTAACTCCCAAATAACTGCTGCGTCATCTTCAGACACATGGATCTTGGTTCAATATTAAGTATTAAGACGCAGCCAAAGCCTGGAGTTCCAGATGCTCCAATCAGAATCTCTCTGTATCATGTATGGGGAAGTTGGCATGCTGGATCAACATGTTTGGCACACGCCTCCTTTCTTAATCTCTAAAAAAAAAAAAAAAAGAAGGTGGGTCTGGCAGAGAGCTCTGTGGGGCTTCTATGGGGATCTCACTGAGACGCTTTATCATCTTGACATCTCTCATAACAGGGACACACAAAGTTCCTCTTAATCATTCTTTCAAATTTGCTCTATTGATTACTTTCAATTCTCATGTATCCAAACTGTTCTCGCTTTATTGAGTGATTGCCAAGAATTCTCACATCTTAAACACTATGTTTACAGAATGTGGTTTATATTAAGACCCACAGGACTCCACTGCAAAAAGTGAAGAAACCCAAGTAAACACTCAGCAGAAAGCCACCAGAGTCCCTCTGCACATTAAATCAATCATCACCAGATTGTGTCTGTGTTCACCATGGATAACAGTCATTGCAGACCAAACCTAGTGCTTAAGGGGTTGATTAAATATTTAAATTACACCACAAGCACCACCAGGATTTCAAGTTGCCATAGCTCTGGACACACTGATGATTGTGCATCACAAAAAGCTGCCACAGTGTTGCAGCAGACTGAAGCGTATCATTAATCTGATGGTAACAGCCCGTACTGACTTCTATCAGGAGAAATAGTTTGCACCTAAACGCTTGATGCCAAAGACCTTAGCATTTCAATTAAATGATGGTGTATGTGAAGTCTGGGAAGCACACACTGATGTGCACTCGGTCTGATGGCCTCCATTTAGTTTCTATCACAATCTTGTACACACTGTCCTCCATAATACTATTTTGAAATGTTATTTGTGGCCTGTAATTGGCACCAATACCCTATATGGCTGGGGTTTTTCTACTCTGCTCTTTCTTTGCTTGATCTGAATTTTGTTGACAAAGAACTATTGTCCACTGACTATGCTCAGACTGCTTCTCTGGTCCTTCTCTACATCACCCAGACAAGAATGAATTAGTTTTTTTCTGTTCAGTATATGCACTCCTTTACACTATTTCGAAAAAATCTCATACAGGCATGTAGCTATAATCATTTCTCAAAGTCTAGCGATAATATTAAAGGCAAGTTCTAGATTTCCTTCCTGATTACCCTACAATTTCCTATCACGTCGAGTTCATACCTAGAGGAAATGATTATCGAATGTTCTGTTCCTGTCTGGGTGAAATACAAAGAGGGCTGTTTTGACCCTAAATAGCGGGTGACCATGACAGCCAACATTAAAATGTGCTAAGGAGTCATTTCTTATCGATAGCTGTTGCAATTCTTTAGAATCAGTCAACACAGGGAGCTTATTCTGGCTGCTCTTAATAGTCTGTCTCCTCCTGTCCTGGGAGTGTGAGGTGCAGTGCATGCAGGTGCTCTCCCACAGAGTATAAATGAGGCGCCTCGGCGTCAGCTCACCTGAAGGCCCGTCCTCTGCCTCTGGGTGGTGTGTAGCCACTGTAGTAGCGTGCGCGTGATGAAAAGCTTCCTCCCCGTGACCGGAACCGAGCCCGTGGGAAGCCGCGGTCTGTGGTGCTAATGCCTGGTCGGTTTGTTCTCTTAGCGCCCACCTGAGAAACAGGATTCATAAGTGGAAAGTAACAAATTAACAGCCAATCCTGTGGCTCCCCCATACAAAAACACCATGTAGATCTGAGACTTTGGGGATTTTCTTGAAAGCAACCTTTTTGGAAAGTAAACCCTCAACTTACAGTGAAGGGAAAATATTACGCTCATATTTCTTTAAGCACAAGGAAGCCCATGCCCATCCACCTAGGGGGCTACACAGGCAAGACATGAAAAAAAACAACTAAATGTTAAAGGCCATAGTTATTTGTTCCAGGACCCTAAAGGGACTCATTAGTTTTTGGGGAAAATATAATATATATACCCATCTAGTGTAAGATGTAGCAGACATGACCCGGTTCAGAACGAGAGGCACCTCTTTGTCATATTTGAATCCATTTCCTTTTACTTAGTCAATTTGGTGTGAGCGGCTACCTGACTGTCTGGGTTTGATTACCACCCTGCTGAACCATTAGCTGATCTATCTGAAGTCTCAACAGTTTGTATTCCTCTGAAGGAGGAAGTTGTAATTGTAATAACTATGATATACTCAGTACTGCGTTTATGCTTGGTCTTTGTTGGCTTCATTTAAGTGAACACAAACCTGCTCCCCATTTTAACCACACCTCAAACTTGTTCTGACATATGACCATGAAACTAAATAACTTGAGTCTTTCAACAGAGTCCTCTTATATAGGATTATTATTTATTAACAGTTGATTTCTAATCAACGGACTACCCCCCAGTTAACAAACATGCATAAAAGTTGCACCATCAGGCCAACAGAAATTATACTTGATTTAAGTGTTAAACAAAAGAGGCCGGCGCCATGGTATAACTCGGAAATTTGAAACTGAAACATTGAGTCTGATTAGATGAATAGTAGTACTATCTGTTGTTGTTGCTATGTTTGTCTCTATCCATCTCTCCTTTTCTGCATCGCCCTCTATCCCACTCTCTCTGCTCATGCAGCAATGACACATGGGTGTTCACCATCAGCCTGGTCTGCTTAACATTTCTGCCTTTAAAAGGATATTTTTCTCTTGCCACTGTTGCCAAGCGCCTGCTCATGGTAGACTTGTGTTGGGTGTTTGTGTACACTATAACAAAAAGTACAATCTAGGCCTGCTCTATTTGTAAAGTGTCCCAAGATAACTTTTAGGATTTGGCGCTACATTAAAACAATTGATGTGGGTTCTGAGCCTGGTCTCAGGTCTTCAAGTAGGTCTTAAGGAGCCTCTACTCCAATATAACATTTTTCAGATGAACAGAAAATCTCCAAACTTAGAAAGCAGACATTAGATTTCTTTACCTTTATCTGCCTTCCTCTAAAAAGGGACTCGTCCAAAGCCATGGCTGTCCTTACAGACTCTTTGTCTGCAAACTCTATGTAGGCAAACCTGGAGAACAACATACAAGAAGAGCACTCAACTTCAGCTAGACAGACAATATCACTGACTTGATATGTTGGCATAAAACTGTATTTAATGGCTATCACAGAAACCAGGAGGCGAAGTGAAGTTAATCCCCTAAAAATAGCTTTGAACAAAGTTCAGAGCTATTTCTGGTGGTATTCAAAGTGACATTCATAAAGAAGATTAAAGGCTGACAGCAACAGATGCAAAAGAAACATTAATACTGCAGTGTGGCAGTGGTATATTTGCAACACAAAATGATAACCACTGCTCCAGTGATGCGACCTGCACAGTGAAAAGGTACAGTATATTGTTTGTTTATTACCCTTTGGGATGCCCTGTGTATTTGTCACATAGGATGGTAACTCTATTTACTGAGCCGCAGCCATGAAAATGAGCCTCTAGCTCTTCTGCCGTTGCACCGTAGTCCACCTGAAAAAAGGGGGGAGAAGTTGAGGCACCAACAGAGTTCTGGCATGTGATCGGCAAAAGACAACGAGCAGGGAAATATGCAGAGCGCAGAGCAGGGCATAACAAAATCTTAACAGCAGAAATATAACCAAGAGTTTACATTTAGGTGCAACTACACCTACTTCCTAAACTACATGCGTTTGTGATAGTTGTTTCATCAAGCTAGACAAACTACAGCCACTTAGAACAGGGAACACATGATAAGTGGGGGTCTCAGGGTCCATCCTGAGAACACTTTAAATGTAAAAAAAGTGTATTTTATTCATTTCTGTTAATTCCCATCCAGTAATTTATGGCTTTTCTTTTTCCGTGCCTTTTTGTTTTAAGATGTCACTGAAGGTTACTGAAGGTCATCTGGTGAGTCTGTTGGGCCGTGATGTGGTGACCCGCCTGTCCTGACTATAGCAGAGGAGAACTCAGACTCACTCACAAGCTGTTTCAAACAAGCCACACACACAAGCTAACATGTCGGCAGTGTGGACCTGAGGTGCTCATCAGCAGAGGTGAGCAAGCCAAACACTGGAGGTTAGAAAAAGACCCCGTACTTTCTCCTCTTGCCCAAAAGTATCTACCTCTCTCTCTAATTATCTCTCGCAAATTATGACATTGATATAAACAAGAATACGAGAAAAAAGGGGTTAAAACTAAATTTTCTGGGGGAGATTTGTCTGAGTGAGAGATAGAGATAGTCTCTTTTTTTTGCTGTCGATTATAGTGCTTCAGAGAAATAAAATCAGAATCAGCCAAATGAGATATCCCAAGGTCGAAGCAGGGGAGAAATCGGCCAGAGATATTGCAATTGGTGCATCTCTGGATGTAACCTCTTCAAGCTCGACGTCTTAACATCTCCAATCCGAGAGTATTTGTTGCGCTTTAAGCTTTGTGGTTTGGGGGTTAAACTTTTTTTAAAGAGAACTTGATCAGAAAGTTGTAACACGATACAAGACAGTCTGATCCAACTGAGACAACAAAGAGACAGGAACTCACATTTCCAACGTAAATCGACCGGCCATCTGCCTCCATCTTTTCCTCGATGGACATGATGACGGGGCCGACTGCACAGCAAGAGAGGGAGGAAAACACAAAATGAGCAACAGACTCTTTAGGAATATTAATTCAGAATATTGTTTGCTCTCGTTTGTCAGTCAATAAGCCGTGCATCTCTAAACTCATGGTGTAGTATAGTGATGGCCACATTACGTTTCATCTTTGTGGACAGATAAAAGAAACTGCTGTTAATTACTTGACTATTAATTTAAAACAAATCAAAGTTTCTTGATTTGCCATATTTGCTAGTAAAAGGTAAATTGATTTGAGCTTGTACAGCGCTTTTCTAGTCTTCTTATTACACAGGTCACATGTTCACATCACATTCACATACTGATGGCAGAATATAAGTCACACCAGTATAGAAGACGCACTCTGTTTTTGAAGGTCTCTCAGAGACAGAAAAAAGTTGAAACTGTCTTCCTGTCAATTTCTATTGTGCTCGGCGAGGTCTACAACGTGCAGTTTCTGTGCAGCTCTTTTAGTTTGGTCTGTTTTCACATTGTTGAGTTTGCACTCCTACTAGCTACAGAATGGTATTCGACCTTCAGCCTGCAGTGAAAGTTGTGAAGCACAGACCCCTAGCTTGCAAGCTCTCTGCCCGACACCGCTGGTCACTCTTTAGCTTTAATATTAATAAAAACAGACAATGTATTGTAAAAAGTGAAGGTGCACGATTTAAACAAAGAAAGTGCATGTAAGTTGTGTAAAAGAACTCAACTCAAAATCCTGAGTCAATCGAAAGAGCCCTCGACAAGGTTTATTTACAGAGCAATATACTACTGTTTTCTGTACATACATGATTATGAAGATGTGAAAAAGTTGCACAGCCAGACTGGTCTGTGTGGTTGTCTTTCCCAGTACAGCGTGCAATCAGCTTTCAAAACACAATGAATGGGGATGGGTTTTTAAATCAGTACAGGTCGCGTGTAGTGTGTGACGGTGACTGCTGAACCCGCGGTGGTCAGCATTTTATAAGGTAAATTAGTTGCACCTGTGTATATGACACAGCCAACTTTTAAGATGAAAAAATAGATAGGCTCCGACCTTCTGGTTGAGACGTCTGACTCTACCACTGAGCAACAGCAGCCATATTTCATTATGTGTAATACTTAGATACCTGCTCCATTCAAAGCAATACAATTAAGCAGTTTTATTAGATTAATCAATGCCCAAACTACAGACTAACATTTATTTTTATGAATACATTTGAAAGCAACTTTCTAAACTTGGCACACTAGCACAAGGATTAAGTCAGGACACGTCGACTGTTTCTGAAAATGTCTATGCATTAAACATCACTCTTTAATAATCATTGAAATAATATAACATACATTTCGATTATTCAGAGTAGAGGTCGCTGTTGTTGATCATTTGCCAGAGAATGGATCAGGGAAATGTAGACAGATAAGACAGAGATCCTGCTTTCAAAACATAAACAAATACCTGGTGGGGGGCTGAGATTCATCTGTTTCTCCACCTCGTTCTGTAGCTCCTTCAGCTTCTCTGCCTCTTCCTCCATCTCTCTCACCCGAGCTTTTATCGCCTCCAGTTCCTACAACATAGACACAAACTTATCATTTAGAGCCGTCAGTCATTCATATGCTACATTTTAGCCATGAAAATGTAATCATGACCAAATTTCACCTTTAACACCCCAATGGCACCCATCTGCAGCCCAAATACAACAGAACAATAATAAAGAGATGCTGAACCTGTAAGTGATGGCAGAGCCACAATGCAACCAAAAGGCCTTTTACCGGAGGCCTGAATTTAGCAGGGGGATTGTGGGCTTTGGGAACAAATCAGGGAAGGTATCTGAGGCTCCTTTTCCAACAGACGACCCCATTCATCAGATTTGGTTAAAACATGATTTTTGCAGGGATGCTGTAAATAGAGCCGTTTTCACATTTGCACACCTGAAGAGATCTAGATCATTTCAGGATGGCTGCTCATGAAATTCTCCCAACCTGGATGTTCACATATGCACCTCACAGCATGAGGCTTTCTCTGTCAAACAGGAGGGAGGGGGGGGGGGTCTCCTGAGGCAAGAGGTTACAAAAAATGATATGGCGCCATAATTAGAATATTTGCCTTACAGCAATGCTACTGCTTTGACGGAGAAGAACACACTGATAAACACAGAACATAATGCAGCTGTTTAATGACGTGCTCAGAGATCATAGGGGCCACGTGCAAACAGTATATGCACTGTGTACCTGTCAGAGGATAAAAATGTCAAACACCCTCTCCCAATTGCTCGAGGTAAATTCTCCTGATTATATCCTGCTGCTTTCTAAAATCAGCTCACTCTGACTTTCTGCGGAAAAAAAACATGTCTGTCCCCATATCAAAATTTAACGGCTGCATTAACTTTTCTGTTGGTCAGTATGTTGTTCTCCACATTGTGATATTGTCTAACCACACGTAGCATTGATATAAAGGCAAACATTCTCATTACTGCACCGTGTAGCGGACTGTGTTGTTTTGTCCGCTACTTCCACATTGTTATTTTTTTACATCACGTCTCCCCCGTTTAAGAGATATTTGTTAAATGATTAGTTTCAATACTATTCATTTTGGTCTTCTCATAAGAGCACAGTTATTTGATAAAACTATTTAAATCAACAGCTACACTGCTCTTAAAAAAAACAAATAAGATGATCGACAATAAAACCGATCATATAAGTCAGAAAACAGTATGTGAAAATTAGTAAGTTAACTTCATTTGAAGAAAAGGGCTGAGGAGATAACAAGCATGACTATAGGAACAATGAATTTCAAATTATTTCGTTTTTTGCATTTTCATTAACATGATTCATTAGATTCAAATCCACACATATAACCATCCATACCTTCAAAACAAAATAAACTCTCACTGTGGAGACTTCATGCTTGGGCTCTGGTTCTAGCTGTTTACCATTACATTTACTATTTTGTCACCTGACATTGAAATAAACAAATAGTAAACCAATCAATAATCGTTTTAGTTTGCTGTACCTCAAAAAGGGAATCTAAGCAAGAGCACTTTGAGAAATTGGAAATGTGTTTGAGCTGATGATCAGGTCTGAGGTTTGGAAATAAAAACAAGAACCCATCAAACAATTAAAAAAAATATATATATTCTTATGGTGAACACAGCGATGTCCGTGTCCTCATAGAGAGCAGACCCTCCTGACAGTGGTGCACTGCAGCACAGTGGGAATCTTTCCAGCTCTATCCAGGGCTGATGCTTATGCTGACAGGTTTTTTAATGCAAAGGCTCTTTGTGCAGCTGGGTACATTGACACTGACAGGCCATATTCAATTAGGTCTTATCACCAAATCACTGGGCTAAACTGCACAGTGACATTGCTGACCGTCACGATAATGGTGGTGATTTTAACCTTTTACTTGTGTATAATTGAAGCTGCATGCTTTCAGTCCCCCCACGCTGGTAGATTATTAAAACAATCAATCCGACAGTGACATGCTGGAGCTCCCATCTTTTGTCGCATATTCAAGGCAAGCTCTTTCACACCCCTCCCTTCTCTCCTTATCCTTGTCCTAGCAAAACACTGAAGGATGCGAACCCAGCCCCTTAAATACCGCAACCTCCTGCTTTTCACACTCTCACCACCCGGCAGACAGTCACTGTTAGAACAAATCCCACCTGGACATGCTGCAAAGACATGACCAGCGAACATGCTGTCATGTGAATGCATGTAGAAATTCAAGTCGGTCGACAAAACGCCTTTTAATACAGGACATACTCGTATTTGCTACCACGGATAGGTGAGACCAAGCGATGTCCAAAATGAATGACAATTAAATATGGCAGGTGTCATCTCCAGCATTGCTCTGTTGAATTGGGCTAGTGTGATAGCATGTCGGAGTTTCTTTATAGCACTGTCACAAATCAGACCAGCGAGACAATGGCATCTCAAAGCAATGCATCAAGCGACTATTGAGGTTCACTGATCATTTAAAGTGCAGCACATGATGCTGTGGCTTGGAATAAGCTAATGTTAGCCTGCTGGCGCTTGGTCATTTGCATGTTCACACACCGGTGCTTCAAGCGCAGCAGCTGCGTGCTGTACACTTAATGAGTAGAAGAGATAACATTACCGTAAGCAGGTCGCCTTCTTTAGCAGGGAGACTCTGTGGCTAATGGCGGCGGCCTGTCCTACCCTCGCCCCTTACTGTCTCCTACATCTCCGTCTAGCATTTTTTTTTTTTTTTGTTGCCCCCCCCCCCCCCCCCCCCCTCACCGGCTCGTGCTGCTCCCTGGCGCAGAGAAACTGGCCGCTGTTGCGCCAAGATGGCGGCCGGCGCTTCGCATGTCACCACCCTTTTCTACTGCACTGCGTGAACCACAATGGCGGTTAACATAGAACCTGAAGATAGCAGCAACGAAAACGACATGTGGCCCAAGACTTGTAAGAATAAAACACGTCAAATTGGTTGCCGGAGTTCGCCTACATATCCGATCTGTTGTAGGTGTTTGTAGTGGTACTCATGGGGGGGGCATCATCTTAAACAATAACCTTCACTTACCGGGTCTTCAATTGCGGCCTCTCCCTCTTCTAATCCCGGTTCTTCGTCACCGACACCCGGGTCTTCCAGCTCAGGATGTCCGGGGTCAGAATCTAGTAGGGATTCCTCCGCCAGTCCGTTACCGAACTCCGCCATCGCCCTGATCCTACTGTACCGACTCACCTCGTGGCTCAGGCCCGTACTCACACACAAGGGGGGCAGCGTGAGCGGGGCGGCGGAAAGAAAAAACGCCGCTTAGTAAAGTTAAAATGTAGATTAAATGCTACCTACAGTAACAGCCACTTTTCAAACAGCATTCCACGACTGACGAGTACTTCTATTCTGTCTCTTCTTTTACAAAAAAAGTCCTAATTTACGACGGACAACCTAGTTTACTTACTTAAATGTGTATATAAAATAGGCGAGGACTACGCGAGAGCGGCAGCGTCCATCAGTTCAGAAATGGAAGCCGGGGGCGGAGTCATGGAACACTGCAGGCGGGAAACTCTCAATCCTATTGGTCAGCGGATGATTCGAGACAACCTTTTTGGTGTCTGCCTCGTTCCTATTGGACAATCGCACATGAATTTCCGGTTCGGAAAAGTAAGTTTGCCACTAACTGGGTAAAATATCTGTCGATCATCTCTGTCAGTCGTAAGTAGACCGGCAATGCAAATTGTTCAGCAAATTAATTCCAGGCACATACGATTGTGATACAAATTGTCTTCCCAAGTTTTGCCAGTCAGGGGAAGTATAAATGATTTAAACCCTTGCTACAAAAAGAAGTGCCTCAATGGTACTGCAATAACACATAAGCTTTGTCGTTCAACTGATTTTATTTCTTTTTCTGTATATCAAAGAAAGCATAATGGAGACCAAACACAAAAAGGCAGGTACAAGTGAGGAGGAAAAAAAACGCTTAATCAAAAGTCTAACGATTTATAACAACACTGCCACTATTATAGTTCAATATTCAGAGGAATATCATACTGTTTTTGAGCAGAGAGGTGGCATTTAAAACCATTATTGATCAATAATAATCAAAAACAGTGATGAGTAGTAATGATAAATTGTATAAGTAGTAGTACTATAATAACAAGAGTGATAATCAAAGTGACAATGAAACATACAGGAATAAAAAGCAAATCTCCATAAAAACCTAGCTAGTTTGGACAGTGCAACACCATGTCTGTGTGTGTGCGTGTGTGTGTGTGTAATCCCAGTCTTGAAGTTAAAGCACTTCAGTCCTCGCTTTACACACAAGAAACAGTTCTATCAGGAGTACAAATTATTACTCAGGAAAGGACACTGTCACCGTCCTTGTTTCAGAAACCCCACCAAGTGACTCTTTAAATTGTGTAAATGGCTGTGTTCATTTTGAAATGTCTGTAGCTTGTGCAAAAATTGTGGACTAGTGCAAGTGTCAAGCCGTGGGATGTTCTACAGTTTGCATTAACAAACACCTCACCTGCTCTCTGTCGACCTCAAGATTGCTTTTTGGTATTTGAATGACAGAAAGCAAAGGGAGGATAACTTTGGAATATCAGTTATTTTATATATTTCTTTACAAAAGTTCAGGTTTTAGTTTTGCATTTAGTTAAAACTATCAATAGTAACATTAATATACAACTTAAATTGAAGGAATACATCTTTAGTATGTTACGTGTCCTTCAGCACAGCACCATCTTATTAGCTCTCAGTCAACACATTTAATGTTTTCTAATTTGCTGCAAAGATTTGAGTATTCACAAGTCCCTTGAGGATGCTAGTAATACCCAACTTACTCCCTTTTGATGGTTTCCAGATATTAGATCTAATTTCACAGCACATACATTGATTGAACTAGTAACTCTGTATCAAAACTGAAAAAAAAAAAAAAAAAAAAAAAAGAGGAAAAAGTAGAGAACAGCCAATTTCAAGCTCTGTTCTCTCAGTATTTCAAGAGACTTGGCTGCTGACCTAAATAAAATCTTTTAAACCAGTTTAATTGCTTACATTGTCATTTGTATAAATATTGAATTATATAAGGAATTCTTCAGTTTTCTGTTTTGCACAGTATTCATGAACAAGAAAACTGTAAATGTATTAAATTCATCTGACCCTCTGGGCCAGATGAGGATAAAATTTATTCACCAACATTACTGGTTATCACCTGGGCATTAATTTATAAACCTGGTGGTGTTTCTTTTTAAGGCGCTCATATATCACACACCAACAATAGGCAAAACCACATTTTTTTACCCCTAATAGCTTTGAAGAGTTGCATTTCAAAATGACATATTCACCATCGAAAGAGAAAGTAAAATCCACAGGATCAAAGAAATTTGTTGTAAAAACAAGATAGTTGGTAATTATAGTCCTTGGCCAGGAGAATGCTGACAACAGACAGGATTTGCCATAATCTAAAAAGAATATGACATTCAGTTATTTCCCCCCATGGTGGATATGAAAGCATTTTGGAACAAACTCTTCATTTTAATACCCAGGCCTGCCTCTCGCACATTACGCTCACATCTAAAACATGTCTCATTAGAATAGCAAAAACCAATTTATTTCACGTGATTTATATTAAGGCATCCAACATGCATTAATGTATCTTTTCATAAAAAGACACTTGCATTAGAATGCTTAAAACATTTCAAACTATGTAAAATGTGTCAAAGTGCAGTATGCCAAGACTGTTCCCTCAGCCTCTCTTTTTGCCCTGTGTATTTGGATTGTCATGAAAACTATCAACATGTAAATGGGGACAAGTCAACAGCCCTGTTCTCTATCAAGTACCTTTTCTCATATCCCAAAATAAGTAGACACTACACTCTTCAAATCAAGCTCTTGTAGCAAAGTAAAAAGGTGACAGTCCAGACCAGTTCATCCTCTCCCAACAGTTCAGTCCAGTTTTTTTTTTTCCAAGCATTTTTCTCCCTAAAAGTGAGTAGGCATGAGAAAACAATTCCACAGGAGCAATCTGGGAGTCATTAATGCAAGTATTTCATGTTATTATCCCAAAAGGTGTTTCCAGGCATACTGTCAAATTGCCACTTCCAAAGAGGAAACACCAATGCGAACAGTTCAAGCATGGCAAGTTAAATGTCGTAACAAATTATAGGAAGTTCAATGAAGTAATATATAACCACAGACTTGGGACCAAAAACGTTTGGATAAAGTGGTGTGAGGATTGAGGGAGACTAGAGATGTGTTCATCACTTTTGAAACGGCAACTCAAAGTGTGATGCAGCATGGAAACAGTCTGCGGTTGTATTAGATACCAGGCGGATCTAGAGCAACGTAGTTCAGTGAAGGTTGAGCAAGAGACAGCGGATGCAGTGGGAGCCAACTTCAAAAACCCAAAACGTTAGTTTTTGAGGATTAGTGCTCAAATTTATTTATTAAAATCTAGGATCCCAAATGGGCCCAAGAATGTCAGTGTGCAGACCCATCCCGATCTGATTCTCTAGCTGCTGGTAGCTTTCGGTGTAGGTGCCTCAATAACCATCTCCCCTATGGAACTAGAACCAGTACTTGACACTGGAGTAGAATGAGAGACCTGTGATCCTTGCACAGCACTGCCAGGTCCACCATTACTCGTTCCATTCTTGTTGACAAGCGTTGAGGGTTGGCCAAAATTTGTTGTTCTCAGGGTTGCCAGATGACGTGAGGAGAAGACATGGGCCCTCGCTGCAGCTCGAGATTCAAATGAGACATTGCAGGCTTCACAGCGGCCTGTCAGGGTCTCCTTTTGCACTGTCTGGCCGGCCACTGGGGAAGCTGGAGTGTCATTAACTGTCAGCTGAACCGGTTTGGGCAGGATGGGCCGATTTGCTTTGAGAGCGTTGTACTGCAGGTAACTTCCTGAACTCATGTCCACCTTCCCACCTGACAGAGGAGACTGGGAATGGTAAGGCAGGGTAGAAAGAACGTTGGGTGGGCAGGACCAGAGAAGTAGAGAGGGAAAAAGTTTAATGACTATCCTTTAATGACAACAATTTGTTACAGATTTGACTGAACGACTAATATTTAAGCTCACTACAGAATTGCCTCATGCACAATTACCCTACGCTTTTTTAGAGTAAAATATTCCTTTAAGGTATTTATTTCTAAAGATTGAAAAATTCTTAAAATTAAGTATTCCTAGAACTCAATTGTTTTACTAATGTGAAGGCAATGCCCCAAACTAGTGAAAAAGCTGACTCATCTGCAATTTTTTTCACATTGCAACAAAATAAACTTTAAGTAAAAACTGGTTAGTCTAGTGTAGTTCACTGTAGTTAAAACCAACTTCCCAACTTAAATACATTTGCAGTCACAAAACTGCAGATACATGCAAAAATCCACAAAATAAATAGCTTCCCCCCTCCACCCCCACCTATGTATAAGAAACTTGAACTGTATAACAATTTGTTTTTAATAAATACATTTTATACTTTATATATATATTTTAAAAATATCAATATGTTTGCCAATTTCTTCAAGCAAGATATCCATATATAAAACAAAAATAAAGCTTCTAATCCTCAGTGAGCTACCATACTGTCAATCTTAATCCTTTTTACAGTAATGTGATTCTGTGCAAAGGTCTTTCAAAAATACTGTGGAGGAAGTCTTTACACCCACTTACAATTTTCTCTTGCTGCAGCCTCCAGCGCTTCTCCTTGGCTCTGGTGTTTTGGAACCAAATCTGAACCACCTTGAGCGGCAGATTGAGCTCATTGCCGATGGCCTCACACTCCATGGCATTAGGGTGGGCACAGGTCTCATAACAGGACTGCAGAATGGACAGCTGTAGGCAGGACAGGTGTGTGCGTGGTCTGCGGCTAGATGAATGGGGAAGAAAGCTGCTTTCAGATGGGCTTGGTTTAGATATGACGGGGGTGGGGGGGATGGCCACTTTGCCAGAGCATGGGGTATTTGGGCTGACTGGCGCAATGCTGGGGGTGGGAGGAGGGGGGATGGTACGAGGAGGTGTGTGTGTGGGGAGAGCCAGTTGTTCTCTTGAAATAGTGTTGATCTTAATTGGGGCTTTGGAGGTCCAGTAGTTGAGCCCATTATGTTTTTGTGTGACCACATTTGAAGCATTTGGCCTATTATTGATGGGTGTTGTGGGCAGTTTGGGCACCATACGGTTGGTGGTCCCTGGTCCAGGACCCATCTCATCTTCATCGTCTCTCTCCTCATCAGTCTTTTCTTCCTCACTCTCCTCTTCTACCTTTCTTTTCTGGGCAGGTCTTGGTGCAATGGGGATTGGGTCCTTGGGTGATGCTAAAAGGACAGGGGGCGCTGACTTTTGGTGCAACTTTGACCATAGTGGCATTGCTGGTGGTTTCAAGTTTGGTCTTTGGCACTGCACACGCACTGCTGCTCACAGAAGAGACTGTGGTAGAAGACACAATTTCCTTTGGCTTGATGGGGACTGGGGCTATTTTTTTCAGCGTAGCAGGTTTGCCCAGCTCCTTCACAGGCTCTCTTTCTGTCTTAATGAGTGTGCGCACAATTGGTGTTGTTGTGATGCAACCAGTATTATTTTGAGGTGGCTTGTTCGAGAATATCGGTTTGGAAAGAGGCCAGGTAAACTTAATAAGAGGTTTGCCAACTGCTGCTAGGGTCCCATCACTGATGAATCGGACCTCACCTTTACGTTCTCTTGCCCTCATGTTCTGGAACCAAATCTGAACAACCTTCTTTGGAAGGTGCACCCACTCTGAAATCTGTTCAAACTCATGTTTCCCAGGGTTTGGGTCCTTGAAATAGCAGCCATACAGAATGTCAAGTTGTTCAGCTTGAATGATGGTTCTTGAACGTCGCATATCCCGATACCTTTTTCCTTTTGACTTCCTCTGCTGCTGCTCCTGCTCCCTCTCCTTCTCTCTCTCCTTTTCTCGCTCTCTTTCCAATAGTGTAGCATTCATTTTCTCTGCTGCTCTCATGTAAATACTAGACTTTGTCATGTTGTTGCAGTTAACTAGAGTCATACTGCTGTTAGAGGAGGACATGGCATTAATAGATTCTGGCTTCACCTGGACAACTACCAGACCTTTAGATGTAGGCCTTAGGCCAAGTCCATCAAGCAACTGTCCCTTTTGTGCTGCAATTTTGTCAGCCAGAGAGGATGAGGAGGAAGCATATTTTGAGTTGTTTTTCCCTATACTGAGATCCAGAGCTGACTCACAGTCACCACCATTAGACAAGTAGTGAGAAGTTTGGTTGTTGGAGGAAAAAGACTGCGAAAGAAGAGAACTGGAGAAGCGTGTGATAGTTGGTGGGTTCGAAAAGATCGGTGTCTTGCTCCTATCTCCAACCATTGAAGGAGCAAGCGAGAGGACATAGGGGCTGAGGAACTGGGCAGAAAAGGGAGCAAGGGACAGTGGAAGTGAGTGGATACCAATAGATTGGATCTCAGTGTGGTCCATGGTGTGGGAGAGGGAATTTGGAGGATCTGCTTGGGCCTCCAACTCCAGATCAACATCCGGGTCCTGTCTTTCCTTTTTAACCTCCACCTCATCATGCTCAAACTCCCCCTTCCGCTTTTTCCTCTGGGACCTCTGATCCCCTTCTCCTTCTTCATCTTCATATTCATCCTCTGCATCAGAGAGAAAAACTGTAGTGGAGCGAAGGACCTTTCCTCCAACTGACCCCTTATTACTATGGACCTCCCACTGAGCTTCATCTTTAACTGGGCTTTCAGGACCCTCCCTTGCCGACCCATTCTGACTTTCCTCATCAGACACAATGACAGAGGTATATACCTCGTTTTCTGAGTCGGACGTTAGACAGGAATCTCCCTGACCCTCCCTTCCCAAATATCTATGTCTATGTTTGCCTCGTGTACTGGACAAGTCTATTGCCTGACTACCAGATGCTTCAGCATCATCCTCGCCTTCTGCAATAACCAGTGACCTTTCTTCGTCATCAAAGTCATTGTCAGAACTTTGGGCATGCCTCATAAGTCCTGCCAAACCTTGTAGATTCTCTGTCTCTCTCTGTTTCTGTTTAGCATTTCGGGCCTGGCTCAACCACCTACGTACCTCTTCCTCAGACAACCCAACCTCTCGACCAAGGGCCTCACAGTCCTCATGTGGTGGACTTGCAGCATCAGCCTCACTACGTGATTCAAAGAATGCCCAAAGAACTTCCATCTGGAACTCTGTCAGTGTTGGAAGGTCTATATACATGGATCCCTTTGTATAACAATGGGGTCGGGTTTGTTTGTTGGTTAAGGCATTTGTACTTGGGCTGGATTTTGGGGTTCCAAGAGAGCCACAAGGGCTAGTGCTAGATTGGGATTTTTGAGGAGTAGAATCAGGGCTAAGTGTAAGGTTTAAATGTATTGGACTGAGGCTTGAGTTGCTGGGCACTGATGCAGAAGGCGAGAGGTTCTTATTCCGGAGGCTCCTCTCTGTTTCCACCGGGGAGAGGTTGAGGCAAGCTGCTTTATCACCTTCCAGGTCCAACTGATTAGTTGAAGTTTCACCATCTGTTGTGCTATCCATATGTGCTTTCTGGTCATCATCATTCTCAACCTTTACTTTGCTTTCTTTATTAGGACACTGTGCAAATTCTTTAACCTCATCATCCTTCTCTGTAGTACAGTTCTTCTTGTCCTTGGTCTGATCTGAGACCTTCTCTTCAGCTGTCCCATCCATCTCCTGCGTTTCTTGTTCTTTCTTAGTCTTCATAGTCTCGTTTTGCCCTTCAAGGCAGTGCTGTGTGTTTGTTGGGACTCCTGCAGATGGCCACTGGTTCTGTAAGCTGTTAAGTCTTTGGGTTAGAAGAGCTTGCTGGGCTGTACTGAGACCTACAAATGGCACACACTGGGTAAGGAGCTGGCCTTGCTGGTTTTCTTGATGCTGCTGGGTTTGGGCTTGGAGCCCATTTAAGATCAAGGGCAAGACCATTTGAGGCTGAGGCACAAGCTGAGGCACGGTGGCACCAGGAGCAGCACCGGCCGCAAAGAGGGAAGGAAGGAGGGAGTGTGAGAGGGTGCTTGGACTAGATGTGAGTAGGGTGAGAAATGCTGAAACCGCCTGAGCTGAGGCCACAGGGGAGGTAAGTAGGGAGGGAGCAACTTGGGAAGTTGGGAGCTGCTCTCTGTCTGATGCCGCAGTCACCATCAGTGTCCCAGGAGCAGCACAGTTGGTGGTGTTGACTAACTGGCTAGTTCCACTTCCAGACGTGGTCACTACAGTTGTGGTGCTACCTCCCAGACTTGCAGTGGCTACTGCGTTGTTTGCAGCATTTGCAACAATGCCAGCATTTCTGCTGCGGGACTGGTGCAAGACAGATTTCATATGGCTCTCCAGGGTGATGGCATGATTGTAAGAGACTCGACATACAGCACACTGGTAGGGTTTGTTTGATATATATGGCCGAGACAGGACAGGAACTGAGAGTGCATGAGTCTCATTTTCACTGGCTTGTTTTGAAGAGCCTGTTGTCATCCTCTGAATATGGGCTGCAGAGTTGTAATGCACACTCAAAGCAGTTCTGCTGGAAAACGTTTCCAGGCAAGCATTGCATTTGAACCGGGAGTTATTCTCAGCACCATTTTTACCAACTGACTTTTCACTGGGGTCTGGGATTTCCGTGTTTCCAGTTGCATTTTGCTGTTTGGCTCTTTTAGGTGGATTTCCCTCTTCTTCTGGCCCTAGTTCAGCTTCACCTCCCTCCTGTTCTATTATTCTCTCTTCCTCCATCTCTGTGTCTCCAAGCATCTGGGTAGCGTCTGCACTCTCACCAGATTGGCAGAGGTCTGAAGTGACGTCTTCGGTGTTCTTCAGTTGTGAGGATGCAGCATCTGATGAAATAAATATATGTTTAACTTATTTTGTATTACACTGAGTTCTTACTTATAGCACAAGTATACATTTCCAATCTGAATTTGGAATTTTCCAATCAATTTGATTCCAACTCATTAGCATTTTTCAATCCAAATGCATTTTCCTGATTTCCCTACAAAAATGTAACCATTCTTCCCTTTACGGAGTTTTTCAATGTACTAAGGCACACCATTACTGATTTTTTGGGTCCAAACACTGAAGTCATGTCATAGTCTTCACAATATCATTACATAGATGAATGATTTTAGCCATTTAGTAAGCTAAAGTTAGCCCCACCTCAGTTAACAGCCAAGCCAGCAACTCCACAGAGCATAAAAGACACATTTTAAGTCAAAACTTCTTCATTTCCTGAACTGTTTGATTTGGAGAGTTGTAGACTAACTTGGGTCATCTGAGGATTTTAATCAATGATTCATAGTGGGCATACAAAATATATACACAATATGCACTATTTAAAGAGTTTCAGAAAGTTTCAATACCAAAATACTTTTTAGATGTCAGATATTAAAACACTACGATCTTTGATCATTTTACAGTTGACGTTATAGAATAGGAAATCATCTAGGAGATTTCCTACCAAAATCTGCCACAAGCAAAGTTAGGGAAGGAAGTAAGCAGCGCTGTAAGAAAGAGCAGAATCAGGGAAATAAAATGTAACTTTCTGATTGTTCACCTGGGTTATGTCCTGAAGAACAAATTAACATGCCCACACTCCCCCACTACCCTTCAGGAAGAAGGCAGGTTTTGTGTGAATGCAGCCAGTGCCATGTGTCATCCTGCCTGGTGTATGTGGCCCGTCTGCTCTGCCCTGCCCTCAGTCACACTAAAACAACTTATACAGTCACGACCTGGCAGACATTTCTCATTTCCTGATCCGCAATTACCAACACTTTAAAGAGAGGCTTTGGTGTTCAATTCACATGTAAGAATTATCATGTGGCATCTGTTGCAGACACACACACAGTGCAGGGGAGAGTGACAAAGATGCAACCTCTTATTACATTTTTTATTTCAGTCCTAACCTGGGGATTGATGCCTGTAGGTCACACATAACTCTTCAGCTCAGAAAATAAGATAAGTATACATCTAAGAGTGAGGGAAGATTCCCAACAAAGACAGACACTGCCTTAAACTTATAGTGGGCCACAAGTGTTGATTCAAAGGGATTATGTGCATTTTTATACAGGTCACATTTTAGGAAAATTCGACTCACTGTCTTTAAGAATAATTAACAGTATTACAAATGTGTAAATATGTGTTAAATCAAATTTTCTGCAAGAGCGCCATGTTTAAATTGGTCTTAAAATAGAAGAAAATCCCTCTATGTTGTTGGCCTCGGACTTTTTCATCATACCTTGGTATTGAAAGAGGCATTTCATATCATTTTATAAAAACCTACCATTAAGTGCAGACATACTAAAAACAGATGGCTTTATTTCCTAAAAAAAATATGATACAGATTTAATTCTTGTGATCTAAACCAATATGGAAGCATTTGTCACACTTACCTGCAAACTTGGGTGCATACTTTTCTTCTCCTCCCTTGGTGGCCTGTTTCAGAACAGCCTGTTAAAAAGAAAATGAAAAGAAAATGTCAAAGAAATTCCCGAAGCAAACTGAACTTTTGGATGAGCTAAATACTTTGTTGATTTTGAGTAGCTCAACATTTGGGCGTGACAGCGATGTGTGGTGATAGAACACAAAAAGCCACCCTGGCAGGCCTTTAATTTGCAAATTATCCTTAAGGCATAAATTTAGCCGCCTTTGATCAATTTACCCTATATCATTACACTTTAAATACTAAACTGCACAGACCCGTTAATAACAGTGTGCTTACTGAGGCATTTATTTTATATTTATTTTTTTGTCCAATTATCAAATTCTTTCTGCAAGACACATTTGGTAACTTGTTCATCTCAACAATTAAAAACATAGATACATATGAAAACATAATGAAAACTTTAATCATGTCTGCAACAGTGAATTCCCACAATTGTCATGAGAGACTGAAACCCTAATCCTCAACAGTCACAATTTAAAAGTCTATGTTGGTGTATTAAATAATTACTTGGTCATTTTAATATTAATATATATTTCCCTGAATTTAAAGGAGCAATCTCTTCCAATGAATATTACTTTGTAAATATGAGGCTCTTTGGATAAGAACCGTATTCAGACATGTAAATGACCATTACTGTCTGGTTAAAAGTCCTATTCTTTTCTAAACAGGAACTGAATAAACACCCAAAATACCTATTTCAATAGGCACTTAATCTGATAACTATTATCAGAAGAGATCCTTCCTCATAAATACAACACAGTGTAGTCATAGTAACATAAACAAAATATAATGCAGTCTTACAGAAGTGTATTCAATTTTTTTTTAGACTTGCATGTTTTAATTTTCTTTTCTTTTTTATTGCTTTAAGTGTTTGTGAAAGTCAGTTTCTGTCACTCACAGTTTCTCTTTGCTAATCACCTCCTGGTGATCTGGCTTAAACTGTTAAAAGGCCTTGATCTCGCTTTCCGCCAAAAAGAAGTTGATAAAAATCAGTTTAAACAGCAACAAGAAACGTTAAGAACTGTTTGACTGTTTTCACTGCAGAGCTACAGCACTGCAAGATATTCAACATTTTGCTCACAACTGTAAGAAAAAGCAGGCTTCAAGTGGAGTCGGTAAGCTTCACATAATTAATGTAATTTAAGAGGGCATAGCCTTTGTGATAGAAAAACTTGTGAAGAATCAGTGTCTTCAGAACATAGAATATGACATTGGAAACCTTATGATATATATATTTTGGTTAAACTTACAATGTCCAGCAGTCTGTCAACACAGGATTGAAGCACACTGTGTTGCTCAGTGAGATGAAGAGACAGGGAAGATCTGTCAATTTGTCCTTTTTGGCACAGGGGGCACAGCCACTCGGCCTCCCGATTGCTTTCACTGCCTACTGTCTCTCCAGACTCCTCCTAACAAAACAAAGGGTGGTTGTTAGAGAATCCATCTTGTTATGGAATCGTCATAAATAATTACACTAAGAATGCCAAAGAAAATATTAAGAAATTAAAATGAGATGAAATTGAGTTATTTCTTCTATCCAAGATCCAAAGTAAACAGGATATGTGTATCTTGGTTATGCACCTGAGCTACAGTGAACAAAACTTATCACTGACTGAAATAATTGAACCGAAAGCGTGCTTCCAGGGTCTGTTTATTCTCACCCACTTTGGCAGGTCACTAAAACATTTCTATTGCATGTTTGTTGTCTGCAAACTTTAGAAATCTATGCAGAACACTTTAGAACTGTAGACACTGGGTCAGACCAAAACCAACTTGTAAATGGCTTCTTAACAACACTTTTGTCTAACAGTCACAGCCAATATAAACCCGATATTAGGCCGGCTGCAGGTGCTTCTATAATTACCTACTTATAACCATACCCTTAAACAGGCAGATTTAGTTTATGACAGAACTCTAAGATCATGAACTGATTACTCTTGGGTGTTTAAGGACGAACGACATGTGTGGGGACATTCCCAATATGTTGTCTGGTATGTCAGAATCATATTACACATTAACACGAATTTTAAATAAGGACTGTTGTGAAGAAGTGTTTACATGCATAACACTTTAGGTTTGATTTGAATTTCACAGTTGCACACAACACCTTTTTGAATTCAATCCAATGTTCAGCAAAACAATAATATTACATGTAGAATAGAATAGAATAGAATAAAATAGAATTACTTTAATGATCCCAAACTGGGAAATTGTGGCGTTACAGCAGCAGGTTATCCAAACACACAATATTAGCAAATCTAAAACACACTATAATATTAACTACAAAGTAAATAAGCACTAAAAATATCAAAACTAAGAATGGGAATATATACAAACAGGATTGGATTTAGCATTACTAGTCTTAAATATGAAGATTAAATGTAAATGTGCAAAAACAGAGCTGTAAATGGACAGTATTGACATAGGGAGATGTGCAATCAGTGATACTATAAGTTAAAGTGCAGGAGTGTAGACATGTTATCAGCAGAGACTATTCAATAGGCGAGTAGACAGACAAATGTACACATACATTGTAATAAATGCAGGATATTCTCACGCAGTACTCAGACTAGATCATATTTGATACGTGCATTGCTTGACAAATCAGCAAATTGTCTACGAAATAACTCATGTGGTCATGACACAAAATATGATCATTCTGCATTCACACGACGGGCTTGTCAAATTGCTTTGGCTCCCGTTTACTCAAAAAGGGAAATCAAAATAAGGCAGCCAGTAAGGTTTTTCCACACAGCTACATGCATTCATAACGAAGACAGTAATTCATGTCCATGAGGAGAAATACCAACACAGCTACAGTCCCTACTTCCTCGTCATGCCAATTAGCAAGCTAGGAGAGATATCTATGACTAGATAATATTTCGACAAGTCTATAACTGCAGAGTGTACCGTGTCACGACATTTATAAGTACACGGCAAGATAAAAGTACACCGACGTCTATACCTGTAATCAGCTAATTAACTCACAGTCTAATTAGCTGTGCCGAGCCGAGGTGAATCAATTAGCTAGCAGGCTAGTTTGAGATGCCCCCCCTGCAAACGTCGCATTACAGTCATGTTTCTGGAAACAATGATTAAGCTGGTAGTTTACTGAAAATAATCCTGCAGTGGTCGGCAGCCACTTCTTCTTCGAAACTGGAAAAAGCCAGGACAAGCGTCAGCATAATCACAGTGGCGGCTGAACGGTCCCTAAATTAAAAAACAAAAAAAACAGAAAAATGGGTTGAGCTAATAACACACTTTGCTAGCTTAGCCTGTTAGCTGGCAGAGATAATTAAACGCTCCTCAAACTAGTCTCCACTCCCTGCAAACTCTGCCAGGTCCAGGTGGGAACTGCAGCGTCAAATACGCGTAACACACCCGACGAGAGTTGATCCGAAGATAAGACAACACAAATCCCGACGCTTTAGGGTAAAAAACCTCGGCCTCGAGTGTTTTCCTCACCCCTCTGATTGTGGGCTGCAAACCGGGCATGTAGTGTTGCACCGCCCGCCGCCTGCTGCTCAACAGCGCAAATTGAGGCCTAGCCGGACTAAAGCCATTTAATTAATGAACGTGGGGCTCCGTTTACAGATGTGTTAGAAAACACTCTGCACCCCCTCCTCCCCTCGCCGCCCCAGCACACCGCATTTTGACAAGTCCGACTGCTTAAATCCACATGTTAAAGACTGCCGCTACAACACATTTTTTTTTAAACTATCATTATAACAGCTTTAAGTCGTAATTGGCGAAAGAATTAAAAGCTTTAAAGCGACTTGAAAGCGGAGTACGTGCGCCGAGGTCGCCTCGACGATGGGGGGTTGTGTGAAGGAGAGCAGGCGAGAAGCAGAAAAAAGTTTTGGGATTTTAATGTTGGATTTGTACGATCGGATCGGTATTGGGCACAATCCGTCGTTTACTCGATCTTTTTTTTAGTCACAGGCCACTCTCGTCGCTCAAACCAGCACAATTAAGCGATCGCGGATGACGTTTAATTAAGTTCAGAGCAATTAGCTAATGCGTTTTTACCTGCATGGTCGCCGCTCCAGCACGCACACACACACACGGTTCCTCAGTGGATCCTCAGAAGTGAAAAGTTTTCTTGCCTGCCCTCCCTCTCTCTCTCTCTCTCCCTCTCTCTCTCTCTCTCTCTCTATGCCTCTCTCTCTCTCTCTCCCCTGTTCTCCCCCTCCCTTCATTCGCCCTATCCCTCTCTCCTTCCCCTCTTCCCTCTAGTAAACAGACCACAGCTCCCCCCAAGGCTGATTGCTGACATTCAGAAGGGACAAACACGGCTATCAAATCCCTTATGTAACCCTGCTGATATTAGACATTATTCATATACGAGACGCCCCTTACTTATTAGGAAATAATAATTTGACGCGTTAAAATTATTATTTATATTTGTATTCCTAAAAAAAAAGTGTTCTAGATTTACGTGAAGTCCCCTTTGACTTGAACGCCTCACCGGTGCTACATTAAAGGTGAATAAAAAAAAAAAACGAGTCCGTCAACTTGATATGTCAAAAAAAGAGTTAATTAAAGGTGAATAACAGAGACGTGACCACCGTGGCTGCACGGTTCATGACATGTTTCAATCAGAGGATAGGTGTGGTGCGCATCAACAGTCGAGTGTGTGGAATAAATATTTATGAGGCAGAGGAGATTAAAACTGCACCATCTGTATGCCTCTGCGTTACTGGGACAGGAAGTGAGGTTCCTGAACACACAAATAGGTGTCTCCGATTGCGCCTGTGCAAAAAAAAAAAACTTAGCTTTAAATGACGACCAGTAGGACTTAACATAGAAGTACTTTTTTTTTTTTGTGTGAAGCCGAATCATTTGGATTAAACGACCTGACTTTTTGGAGGTTTGTGAGAGGACTGCTCTTTTCGTAAATTCCGATTTTGCAAGCTCTGTGCCGCAGTTATTAAGGGCATTTAAATCTTAATCTTCATGTCTGCAGCAGCAGCAGTAGATTTGGCTAGATGATTTCCAGCTTGATATAATAAAAGAGGAAGGGTGTGATGTTCACTTTGCAGTTTGGTGCAGTTAAGTTTCGTGGAAATTATTAACAAAAAGAAAAGGTACAAAAATAACCTATAGGCTTTGGTGAGAGGAGCTGACACATTGTATTAAGGAATACGTAAATGTATTTGTTGTAACACAATACAAAGTTCATAAGATATTACCCTAAAACTGTTAGGGCTGCTCGATTATGGCAAACATCATGATCACGATTATGTTGGATTGACACTGAGATCACGATTGTTATACACGATTTCGCATTGATTGAATGAGCATCACATGCATTTATAAAACTTAAACACTCTTAACACTTTAAAATTCTGAACACTTTCTGAAAACATTTCTTAAATTAAAATAAATAACGTGTAAATATATGATAATAATAATTGATGGATTAATGGATAACTTCAAATCAATTGACCCTGTTTTGGATTTAGAGGTGATTTACTGTTGTGGCCAAAATATAACAACCAATGTTTTAAAACATTTACCACACATGACAAAACAAGCACACAATGCAGCACAATAATCATTTAATCCTGAATATCTTGTTTTTATGATTGTGTTTGAAAACTGAAACTCGATTAACCGCCCAGCCCTACAAACTGTTAGGATTTATGTCATTCTTAATGCATGTCATAGTGAACTGATTTTAAAATCTTCATTTTTGTGTTGATCTTGTTATGTCATTTCAGATGAGTGTGGAAGTGGAAAGAAAGTTTCTGTGCAATGCTGACATTCTGAAAACACTGGAAGAGACTGAGGGTATGTGTTTGACTTTTCCACACATGTGTAAATTTAGAATTTAATAATTTAACTGAAACTGTGATCCAAGTCAACACTGCAGTGGCCTGCTCTGAAATTACTTTATAATAACCAATTTTGTTCATCATTTCTCTTATGACCCTCTTCTCTGACTCAGTAACATGTGTTGGCCAGCACCAGTTTAAGGACCAGTACTTTGACAGCCCCAACTTTGACCTGACTTTGAAAGACATGTGGCTGCGTAAACGTAAAGAATGCTGGGAACTCAAGAGCCCGACAGCAGAGGAGACAAGTGGAGAACAATCCAAATCAGCAGCCCTGTGTACTCGCTACAAGGAGATAACCAATCTGCCTGAAATTCAACTGCGAGTCAAAGAGGTCTTAAAAGATGTTTGTGAAGACACAGAGAAATCCTCTTCAATGGAGAACGAGTCTTGGCATAGCAAAATGAATCTGGCGTGCTTTGCAGAGTTTACAACGGTGCGCCGGTCGTTCATTTTAGAGGACGGAGTGCGCATAGATCTTGACCAGGCTGACTTTGGCTACCATGTGGGAGAAATAGAGGTCCTCGTTCCAGAGGAAGGGGATGTGCAGTCTGCCCTGGAGAAGATTGAAAGAACAGCTAGAAAGCTTGGTGAGTTAAAAAGCTGTCAAACCTTTCATCAATTAGACATTTTACGTGTGATTAATAATATTCATGAAACTGATTACAAATGTGCCATTTATTGACCTTCTTTCCTCGAATGTCATATGTAAATCTTCTTCTTCTTCCTCACAGGTCTGGCTGGAGATCAGCGAGTCGAGGGGAAAATGAGTGTTTACCTCAAGAGAAATAATCCGGAGCATTATGCAAAACTACTGAGAGCACACGTTTTGTGAGAGGTATTTTAAATGATGTTTAAAAAAAAAAAATAGTAGACGGATATTTCTAAGACATGTTTAATATTTATAAAACTCAGCTCTGATCACTCCACAGTCCCTTGACTTTTAAACTACAGGTTGCTCAATTGTGGTTGGTGTTACAACCTTAAGTGACATTTCTTTCTTTTTTTAGAGAGAGAGAGAGAGAGAGAGAGAGAGAGAGAGAGAGAGAGAGAGAGAGAGAGAGAGAGAGAGAGAGAGAGAGAGAGAGAGAGAGAGAGAGAGAGAGAGAGAGAGAGAGAGGGGAATGACATGCAGGAAAGAAGCTACAGGTCGGATTCGAGGCTGGGCCGCGCCCGCTTGGAGGACTGCACCTCGCCTCAAACTTTCTTTAACTTATGTAGCATACGCACCAGTTATGTTTGAGTCTGGCTGTATTATAGAGAGTATGACATGAACTGTGAATACTGGGAACACATGGAATTGCATACTGTTGATTCAACATTCATGATACTGTGTTGTCCGTGATAAAACATTTAAACACTCCCAGTTCAAGAGTAGGCGACACTGTGTTTCACTCCACCCACTGGGTATTAACCTATCTAATCTAGCTACTGTTGTTGTTGTTGTTGTTGTTGTTGTTGTTAAAGGTGTTCCATAGTCTGACTATAAGGTGAATTTGAGGCTTTGTACTATATTTCTTTCTGATTTTATTTAATTATTAAATCTGTGTTTTACATTTGGGTTTACAAAACAGGATTTGTTGGGCAAAGCACCTTATTGCTGCATCAATTTGAAGCTGTGAAATACATGACAAAATCAGTTATTAAAACAATGCAACATCTTGTTCGTAAAAAAGTCTCTCTCTCTCTCTCTCTCTCTCTCTCTCTCTTCAGTCTTAAATGTTACCACTAAACTGACTACAACAGTGTCTGCATGATTATGAAAGTCTCATGAATATTGCCCTACAAGGACACACTTCACCATTTGCCCTACAGAAGAACAGCCGAAAAAGAAAAAACATTCTTGATTCTACAAGAGATGTGTTGTGTAAAAAAACATCTAGTAAAACAATAAGATGTTAAAGTGAAACTTCTCTTCAACATACAGATGTTTTTAGTTCGTGACATCACTTTAGAGCAGTGTTTTTATCTGATCATTTGTAGAAATAGACAAGCTGCTGCACTAAATGACTCTTCTTTTTTTGCAGCATGCTCATTTTAAGCCAGAAACATTAAATTGTAATTAGTATGCAGACACTGCAGGATTTAGTCTTCTCAGCAACATGCAGCACAAATTCTCTGTAAAAGAAAATCCTGCAGTACTTTGGTGTTCACATTACTTGATTCCTCCATAAAACCACAATGAGTTACCACAGTCACACATTGATTGCCATCTTCAGTTTAAGGCTATGCAGTTTGCTCTCTCAGTAAGAGGTTTGTGAGAGGTTCAAATTAGCCCTCCTTCGGATTGTTCTGCAGGTCTTTACCAACACAGGCACCTGTTAAGCTTTGTCTGGACACCTGTGATCCACACACACAACATATAATCTATACAGTGTAAAATAACATTCTACAATATGCATATGCAGAGAGAAATGATCATAATATAACCCTGTGTATCAGGGCTCACTGCTCATGTATATCAGTTTTCATAATGATAAGGTCTAGGAAGGATATATACACAGGAGCCTAACCTCCTGTATGACACTACCAGACTGCATCTGTTCGTTAAACTTAATAATAAACTAATCTTCATCAGAGAAGTTGTGGTTCAGTTATAATTACAAGTAATAATCACATATGAATGAATACAGCTGGGAAAATAAGACTTTTAACATTTCTGCTTTATTTTTGGTATACACTATTTAGATGACAAAACAAGTATAATTTTGAAGGTTATAAGGTGCAGCTGTATTATGACTCACACTTTATAAACCATTTAGGCCTATGGGCAATTGATTTAGGATTTAGGATGGCATTTAGGAAAGTATTGACCTAAATATGTGTTACAAGTGTACAATGAGATTTTTATTGTTGATGATTTTGATCTGACTCAAGTTAATGTAATGTTTCAGGGTTCTGCGTGTAATGCTGGATATATATAGTTTTTGGTAGTAAGAAAAAATATTAAGTTGCGCGTTTACGCATGACGTAAAAGCCAACGCGTTTCCACTTCCCTCTTGTCAAATGTCCACGCCTCTTCTGCATACAGTATGCACACAGCTCGTCTCAAAACATTTAGTGAACAAAGAAAAGTACTGCATTAAAAGTACTATCATTTTAACCAATACTCACACAGACAGAAACATAAATAAAGTTGCTTTCCTTTTCCTAGTGGGACCAAACTGCGCCCCATCACAACAAACCAGTTTGCTGCGTGAGGCTTCAGTATCGACTTTGTGGGCAAAACCCTCAGACCCTGGATTTAAAAGGTCTACTTTAATGTTGTCTTCAAATAAATTCCAACCAACTCTGCTTCAGCACGATATTTCTTTTGAAAAGTTTGACTGGTTATTCTTGTTAATGTTATCGATCTTGCTTAGCCGAGCACCTTTCCCCACAATCTCGCCGACAAAACATTAAAACACACAAATGGCACCTGTAGCTGCTTCATGTCAACGGGAGGGGAAAACATCTCCTCTTGTGCCTTGGGCTATTGGGCACAGACCGTAGCCCGTCATCTCCAATTATTCACCAAGTGCAGGATTACCAAATAAATACAAATAATAATAATAAAAAATAATAATAAATAAGGGTTAATAATACATCTTATATGCACTCTAGATTATTATGTAGATCCATATATTTTGTATATCTTCTATAGTCTCAATCTCTTATCTGTTGTGTTCATATTTTACAATAACTAATACATCTGCACTTTGTCAATAACATTCAATCAGGTTTGGGCACTTCCGTGGACAGTGGTACTGATCACGTGATGACGTAGGGGAAGGGGCACGCACAAGGTTTTTTCACCTTTTTTTGTAAACAACATGGCGATTCACGGCTGGCCCTGTTAGCCGACTGCTGCAACACTGTGCTTGTCAAACCATTACTTTTCACGTGTTAGGACGTCATACGCTTGCCCCGGTGGGAGTGACACTCAGGACACATTATTAAGTGAACAAAGAAACGACTTGGAGCTGGATCGACGAGCTGTCAAGCAGACTGTTTGACAGTCAAGCGGTAATATTTATGATAAGTCGTTAGCATTTAAGCTAACTCAACAAACCTCTGAGATTTAACCACGAACGATTGTTTTGGAAAAAAATACACCGGTGGATTGCTCTGCAGAAAAAAATGAGTTTTGTGAAATTAAATTAGTGGAAGTACAAAAACTTAAATTGACATTAGCCAGGTTGATGCAGGTGTGTTTTCTGTGGAGCTGTAAGCGAACTGAAGTGTTCCCATTTCCTCTGTGTTCATGACAGACACATCATCATATAAATGCAAAACTTTCTTTTTCTTTTTAATTCCTCTCCCTGCCAGGCTCCCCTCAGTCTATGGGCTCTCAGTCCAGTTCTGGGATGTCTGGAGGAAGGGGTTCTTCCAGTGGCAACCCAGCTGAGCAGCCTGAAGCAGCAGAACCGAACCAGAGCAGCAGCAGCAGCAGCAGCAGAGTCCGCAGGCCTGCTGAGAGGCAGCAAGGAGACAGACAGCCAGCATCTGAGGAGGACGTTGACTTAGCTGAAGTGCTGGCTTACCTACTAAGAAGGTGAACTGGAAGATCAAAAACAATGCACTAATATAAACCCTTTTCTAGATGTTGTTATGTGCTGTGTTGTTATTTTACACAATGCGAGACATCGAAGATAAACACTCCTCTATTTTGTGTCAGGCCCTTTAGGTAGAGTTAACTTACAAACAATGAATCTTTTGGAAAAAAACACAATGTGAACCTGAAACGCCCTGAGATATGAGAAAACAATATTCCACATTGCAGGACAAATCCATTCAGTATTTCATTCTTCTACTCATTAAAACATGTTGAGTAGCTTGATGAGGGTGACCTGTGGGCTGGGCGATATGACCTAAAAAAATCAATCAATCAATTGCTTTTTTTAATCAATACAATTCAACAAAAGCAAACTGAAATACACTTTGAGGATTAATAGTAAGCAGATATTTTCTTTAGGGGTTGAAGTGCAAGCTGTGAACTTGTCTTGAGTAAATACATTTTTGAAAATCATGATTTTCCACACATACGATTTATCATCGGCCAGCCCTATGGTGAGTATTAAAACTAAAAGCATGGCGTAAAATTCAAGTCCTCAATTTAAATCTCTTTAGATGTGCAAATCTACATAAATGTATAATGTCTAACTGTTTTTTTTTATCATCTTTTTATTTGGGATGGGTATACAATGATCAACAAACTGTACACAGAATGTCAGTATATAACTTCCCTCCACCAACATGAACCCATACATACATACATGCATGTCTGCATACACAGGCCTCCATGCATACACAGAAAAACAAAGCAAAAACAAGAAAAACAATCCTAACAGTAATATTAATAATACTCTTCATAATGATAGTAAAAATAATAAGACGAGACAAAAAAAAGGGGGGGGGGAATTAAATTAAAAATTAATAATAATTAGATGTCATAACATCATAGCATCATTGCATTATCATTGTTGACAACCTTTAGAAAATTCCTCCAAGCAACAGATCATGGAAGCCAAAAGTCCTGAAAAATATGGCCACGGTTACATTTTTCCAAAGTTAGTTTCTCTAACGGTAAAAATTGTCACTCTTGATCCAAAAACAACTTAAAGGTTGGCGGTTATTCATTTTTCCAAAAAAGTAATATACATTTCTTGGCAAAATATGTTATAATTATTAATATTCTGCATTTTTTTCTGTCTAACTGAAAATCTGGGGACTCATTTAATAAATACAGACAAGGGTTTAAATCAAATTCCATTTCCAAAACAGATTTAGTAAAGGAATGAATAGAATTCCAGAAGTCCTTCAGCACAGCACATTGCCTAACTGTTAATCTTAGTT